GAATTATGAACTGTGCATCACACGAATGTATCAACGCCACAAAAAGTGACGTCACAGGTAAATTTCTAAAAATAGAATATAAAATTGGGATTAAGTTTTAAATGGTATTATTTTATGTATTTTCCAACCATTACAAGAATATTAATATAGAATTGTGTTAGTAATGGTGTAATTATTTGTATTTTCTGGCCATGTCGGTTTTTCTTCTAAATAAAAACTGTGTAAAAACATTAAATCCTGTGCATATAGTTGCTTTAAACTAAAAATCATATAAATGAACTAGCTGATTAATTATCTTAACTTTTACATACATATAGAAAATAAAAATAGAATTCAAACCACAAACGATAAGACATAACACAATATCTAACAAGACTTACACAAGAAACATCATAACTAAATACATGAATGTTGGATGTATGAATACCGAGACACGTCTAATCATGCTAATAGCAATGCGAATTCACACTCGGCAAAACAGTCATATTCGGGAATATGTCACATTCGGTACTTAGCAGACAAGACGACGTAAATGGTAAACCACAATCTAAGACGTGGTAAACATGTCGTTAGTTAGTTTAGACACAGACACATCGTATAGATCATCCAATTCGTGATGGTGTCATTTTTAATCTTTCCTCCTCACAACTCTGTTGGATCAGTTTCTGCGTAAGGAGCACACTCATTTATATGAAGTCCGCATAGTGTGAACATGCACGAGCATAACGTATCAACTGAGATATGTAAACACCATACGATGGGGTATTCCTATTCATCACAGCTTGTGGTTACAACAGAAGTTTCCTAAAGTTATTTGACAATAAGATTCAACTCGACATGGCTATACAAGAAGACAAACTACTTGCGACGCTGAAAACATATGGGATAGATAGAAAAAAACATATTTGGCTCCATGCATGTAAAAGCCTATGTAAAATCTCGAGTCCTACAATGCACTGTATTTGAACCACTGATCTTCCTCTGCGACATCAACGACCTACCTGACAGCGTAAAATCTTAGTGTGTACATTCGAACCAAAATATATTGTATGAATACATCCCAACGGAGCTATATGACCAAAGTGGCCTAAAAGAGTAGACAAATGTATATAAAGTCAACTGAGCATGAAAAAGTTGGAACCTTATTTTCGTAGAAATTTCTTAATTAATAAACGGGGAATTTAACAAACATATGTTTGAAATCATGTCAATACGGGGAACATGACTATTGAGCTGATTATAACTTCGGGAAATAACAGTGCACAGGCAGCCGTATCAACCAAGTGCTCAAGTGCGTATGCTTGCAAATAACTGATTACTCTACAGAAGTCAACACCAACAACAATACCAGATTCTCCAAGAAGAACTTGAATCGCTTGTAGTATGCGCAGCAAAATGGGGAATGAAATTTGACGCTTAAAATACTAAGTAATGAGGATTAAAACAAATATGAATACACTTATATCAACTACATACATGTAACCACGTAAAAGACTAAACAAATCCTTATATATATATATATATATATATATATACAAGTCTAAATTGAAAACAACGTTCAAACCTATGATTGCGTTGGATAAAAACCGCAATTTTTATACGTGTGCATGCAAAAACAAATTTCTTGTTAGAGGGGTCTAAATACAGCACAAACAACATTTTCCAAAAGACCAAAAAAGTGAAAAAGTATATTTTAACAAAACGCATTTGACTAACAGGTCGAACAACAAATGTTCTTAAAGCCTGCTGACTGCCATTGGCGATTGCCAAATAAACGGATCACAAGGTGTAATAAATGGATCTTAATTAAAAATTTAATACCAAACAGAAAACAATAAACTTGCGGCAAAGATGGTATACCGCAAACAAAGGTGCAAAGATTTGTACACCATATCCGGATTTCGACAATTAATGTCTCTTCAGTGATGTTAGGAATCGAAACAGTATTCGGAAGGCCATGTAATTTACCTCAATTTAGGATAGACTCTCGAATTTTGAGGAGTCAAATTAGGATGAACGGATCATATAAACCCGAAGGCAAATATAATACAAGCCCAAACGAAAAAATATAAACAAGTCTAAATTGAAAACAACGTTCAAACATATGATTGCGTTGGATAAAATCCGCAATTTTTATACGTGTGCATGCAAAAACAAATTTCTTGTTAGAGGGGTCTAAATACAGCACAAACAACATTTTCCAAAAGACCAAAAAAGTGAAAAAGTATATTTTAACAAAACGCATTTGACTAACAGGTCGAACAACAAATGTTCTTAAACCCTGCTGACTGCCATTGGCGATTGCCAAATAAACGGATCACAAGGTGTAATAAATGGATCTTAATTAAAAATTTAATACAAAACAGAAAACAATAAACTTGCGGCAGAGATGGTATACCGCAAACAAAGGTGCACAGATTTTTGTACACCATATCCGGATTTCGACAATTAATGTCTCTTCAGTGATGTTAGGAATCGAAACAGTATTTGGAAGGCCAAGTAATTTACCTCAATTTAGGATAGACTCTCGAATTTTGAGGAGTCAAATTAGGATGAACGGATCATATAAACCCGAAGGCAAATATAATACAAGCCCAAACGAAAAAATATAAACAAGTCTAAATTGAAAACAACGTTCAAACCTATGATTGCGTTGGATAAAAACCGCAATTTTTATACGTGTGCATGCAAAAACAAATTTCTTGTTAGAGGGGTCTAAATACAGCACAAACAACATTTTCCAAAAGACCAAAAAAGTGAAAAAGTATATTTTAACAAAACGCATTTGACTAACAGGTCGAACAACAAATGTTCTTAAACCCTGCTGACTGCCATTGGCGATTGCCAAATAAACGGATCACAAGGTGTAATAAATGGATCTTAATTAAAAATTTAATACCAAACAGAAAACAATAAACATATATATATATATAGGTCATAAAGTATCAGATGACCTAAGGTGAACCATTCATATACCAAGGCAAGCTGTACGTTAGATTCTCTGATGATATACTTACGCAAATGACTCCCAAGGTCTGCAAGAAACCAGCATACCTAGTCCTGGTGCGGTCTGTAATGGAATATTGTGCAGTCATTTGCTATTGAGACCCATGTAAAATCAAAGAATAAAGAAGATCAAAACCGCATTGCTCACATTGCAATCTTACGGAACAAACGCAAAAGCGAAACACTAATGATTTTCAAAATTCAAATAGTGTTGTTCGACCAGAAACTAAAACACGGCAGATCATGTAAACTCGTTGATCACAATACAGAGGTTATAAAGAACTCTTTCGTCCTTGAAATAATAATAGAGTAGAACCACTTGGAAGAGAACATTACATGTTCAATGACAGTTGAGGGATTCACGGCTGTCCTCCAATAGTTGGACTAATCCAATCAACTCTCCCAACGATGCACATGTTTCCGCAATTAGATCCTACACAATTGCAAGAATAAAACAAGACCATACCGAATCTGGACCTGCGTCGCTGCATGTTATTGATTTGGGTTGCATGTATACTGAAGCATAACTGATCATTCCCTTTCATTGAAGGCAACAAACCTTTGACGAGAATTTACGTGTTTGACGACAATAAGTGTTGTAACATTTCAAGCTATCCGCAAACAGGAAGTGGCTACACGGCAGATTAAAACATTCCTTACTCACTACAACCGAACATAACCAAGCTGCAGACCAAATATTAAACCATTCACCTGTATAGAAGTCAATAAAACTTTGATCAAAATTTGTTTTGTATAATGAGTTTTGCAAAATTTCTTACTATCGTCATCAAAAAGTTGCTAAACGGCGGATGTAAAAATAGCTTACTCCCTACAGCTAAACATGATCAAGCTGCAGACCAAATATTAAACCATTCAACTTCATAGAAGCCAAGAAAACTTTGAAATCATTTACTTGTACAATAAGTGTTGTAAAATTTTGAACAGTCGGCAAACAGGACGCGCCTTACGGATGATGAAACAATTACTTACTCGCTACAACTGAACATTATCAACCTGCAGACCAAATATAAAATCTTTCCCTTCCATAGAAGCCAAGAAAGTTTACTACCATCGGTCCTTCGGACGAACGGAAGGACGGACAGACAGAGTCCAGCGGTTACGATACCTCCTTTTGGATTCGGCGATGCAGGTAAAAAAAAACACACATCTGAAAAAGAGGTATTAAATATATTGGTAGTATACAGTTACTACATGTATATCATAAGTCCAGTTATAAATAGACAAACTTTTAAGTGACAACAATCACAATCACGTGACTCCAAACGGAATCAGACCACGTGTCATTAGGATAGACATCTTCTGCTATATATGGATCACTTGTTCTGCGCTTGTAAAGTATATTCATTAGTAGGTGCCTTAATCACAAATATGACAAAACCATTAATGATGCAATTCGGACTATCCGGAACACGAGGGCTTTATGGATCAGTAACTTTGTCTTTCAAATCATTTGGTTGGAGTGTTCCTGGTGGAAGTATGCTTCGGACGCACGACATTTATTTTGATTTAATAATACACAGGTTTGTTTGGAGTATAGAATCGCTGTTATCAACTATAAACTAATTCATGATGGCGACTGTTTTCATAAAAAAAAACTGGTTTCCTGATAGAAAACATATTTCTTTAACATACCAGTTCATCTCATACTTTTACTGGTACTGATTCTTTCCCCGTGTACGTCAAACTAAAGTGTTGATAAATAGTATTCACTGCTCCTCTGCTAAGCATGTGTAATTTTGCAGTAGGTGCAAAAGATTGGTCGGCTCGAAATCAAAATAATATGTCTTTTATGGACTGTTAAAAATGCAGATCAGCGTGTCGAGTCAAGTATCAATCAGGGTTCATATTCATTTCACATTAACATGATTTAGCCTTGATATGCATGTAACATTTGTCACTAAACGTTTAACACCAATCCACCATCCTCAACATCAATTTATAATCACCATACACTTAATACAACAACACAAAAATACTTCAGATTTATTTATTTCACTAGATCAAATAAAGAAAATATTCCAAATTATTCAAAAAATAAACCAAAAACTAGTTTTATTTCTGTATGAATTGTGTATGCATTACACAGTTTTTTTTTTTTTTTTTTTTTTTTTCTTTAGTCTTTAATCAATTTTGTATCAGTTAGCTCTCATTTGATTTCACAGTTAAACTATTCTAGATCTGTATGATTTATCCACAAAATCATCAATAGAAAGACACTTATTTTTCAAGAGTACTCGATCACATGCTAACTAACGTAGAGTATATCTGCACCCGATTAAGTAAAGCTATATTGATGAATGTTTATGTTTCCTTTTCGAAACAATACTGTCTGCTATTTTCTTTTTCTGTACATCAGTGAAGTTTAAAATCCTTATCATTGCTCTTAAATGAAAGTCACAATCTTTGGTGTCTGTGGCATAATGAAAGAATGCGTCCTTGAGAAATCTGAGTGTTACAGCTGCTTCCGTTTCCGGTTTAGGAGCTTCGTCATATGATTCCTGTCGGCGTATCGATTGCCATTTTCCGAGTTCTGTTTCCGTAAGTAAAAGTTTTTGTAACAGTTCTTTAATTGTTATTCTTGATCCATCACATGATACAGCAATCCTTTCCAACTAAAAACCAAAACATGAGTAAACAAAATTAAACTCTATACAATATGAGACATTATTTTCTAGAGACATAAGGTTTGTAGATGTCCCCGCTTTCTACATCAAAAAATGCATTAAGATATATAACGACATATTTGAGAACATATTTTTCGTTTCTAAATTCCTAATTCCTGCAAATGAATTATATAATGGTTTAACCATTATTGCATAGCAAAAAGTAAAATAACAAAAATATCGAACTCCGAGGAAATTTCTAAACGGAAAGTCTATTATCAAATGGCAAAATCAAAAGCTCAAACACATCAAACGAATGGATAACAACTGTCATATTCCTGACTTGGTACAGGCATTTTCTTATGTAGAACGGTGAATTAAACCTGGTTTTACAGCTAGCTAAACCTCTCACTTGTATGACAGTCGCATTAAATTCCATTATATTGACAACGATGTGTGAACAAAACAAACAGACAGCAACGTAGTATCCAAAAGAACGATGTTCCCCGACATCGCATCGTACGAGAAAGAGGCTAGCCGGCGAATGTGGCAACTTTTAGTACAAATGGTTATCGAAAATAATCCTTGGTAGATCTCGTGTATCCAATGCACTTTACAGGATTGACATTCATCAGGAACGTTCAAGTCTATACATTTAAAAGCCTGAGATGTATAATTAAATACCTCCACGATCTTGGATTAATGTTATTCAATACCAGAAAAAATTATCAAAAACCGATTTTGAGTGGAAAAGAAAGGATAAAGTGTATGAATTCATTGAACAATATAACATGCTTATGTGAGAAACAAATACAAAGGAACAAGAATTTTTATTGTGTTCTTCCTATCAAAGTCACAGTCAAGTCTTCAACATTTGGTGAACACTCTCAAATCAGTTCAGGACGGCCCTTGATATGACTATCTCAGTCCCCTTTTCCCCCATCATAATTTCTAGTTTCTTCTCAAAATTTTCTCTGTCTGACTCTTGTTCTTTTGTTTTATCACTTAGTAACTTTTTCAGTTCTTTCACTTCATTTTTCAGTTTTTTTATCAAATTGTCTTTCTTTTGTGTTGGGGTTAGGTAATCATTTCCTTCGCACTCGTTACTGTCAAGCGACACATGACATCTTTCAAATCTCATCACATACGACTGGGATCAAAAATTTTACCTTCAAGCAAAGGTGTATTTAAAGGATTTTTCTTTATTCAAAATAGATGCTCTAACAGTGAACACTATTAGTAATTTCTTATGTTCATGCTATTTGAAAAAATAATCAATTTCTATTGTTATGAATAACAATGGACTCTCAAATCAGTTCAGGACGGCCCCTACCATTAAATAGTTTTGCTAGAAGTCGATCACGCTACATTTTAGTCTCGAATGTAACTTAAAAGCTTGAGCCAGTATATTACACCGTCTTGGAGTGAATTGCTTTTAAGAATACGTGTATTCAATTTTCATGAATATATCCGTACTTCATACTAACATCTAAACTTATATTTTATAACTCTTTTACCTCTTCGTTTCTTTCAAACAGTGCTGACATTTGACCTTTTCTATAAGTTTCCAAAAACACTTTCTCATTATTCCTTTCTTTCTCAACCATGGCCTCCTGGAATAAAACGATTTTATAAAAACTGATAAATAATTTTTATGTCTATTAGACCATACAAAAAATTTGTTCCTATGCCTTACTAAAATATTTTGGAAATCACAATATAACACGAACACTAAATGTTTGTTTACACGGTACGATTTTCCATCAACTTTTCAATCCGATTTGATACCGTCCTCCAGGTAAATCGTACAGCGTTCTGTTCACACGATACGATTTTCCATTCGGTTTACCAAACGACATACCATTTCAGTGTTTACACGGTGCTATTTTAGTCGAAAGCAGGTACACAGGTAAAATTCGAATGAAAATCGAAATGAAAATCGTACCGTGTACACACCTTTAGACAGAGTAGCAAATATAATCTTAAACCGTTAAAATCAACAAATCACTTATGTTTCTGGAAACCAACAGTTGTATCGGTCTTATAGATAAAGGTCGATTTCATTCGTGAACTTAGACCCCCTTCCAAAAAAACGGCTTTAAACCCCTACTCCGCAATTCCATTTACAATAAATGTTCTACTATACATGATTCCTTGCAATCCGTTAGAAGTTCGGCTAACAAGCTAACAAGCTAATGTGGATCATATTGTTTCCATGCTCCAATTCACTCACTGTTTGCGTCGTGTCGGGTGTCACATGTGGAGCAGGATCTTCTAACTCTTCCGGGTACACAGGCAAAATTTGCTCACGTGAAATATTTCACGTGAGATTCATCTCAAACGAGCTTATACATGAAACTCACGTGAAAATTTTCATGTGAATTTCACATGAATTGAGATTCACATGAATCTCATGTGAAAATTTTCACATGCATTACACGTGAACTTTACAAAAAAATATTGGTATTTTTCATGATTTTAATTAAATTTGAAAATTTAGATGTTATTTGAATTACTTTATTTTAAAAAATCACATGAATTTCACGTAAAAACAATCATGTGATTTTCACGTGAAATTCACGAGAGTTTCACATGAGATTCACGTAAAACTCACATGAACTGATTTCACGTGAGTTTCACGTATAAGCCCGTTTGAGGTGAAATTCACGTGAATTTCATGTGAGATTCACATGAACTTAAATTCACGTGAAATTGATGTGAGTGAAATTTCCCTGTGTACTTGAGATCATATTAAGATTTTAGTTTGTGGACTTGTTTGTCTTTTCATCGTTTCCTGGGGGTATTTTTTTGCCAAGGCGTTGACAGTTTCTTTGGCCCTCAAAACATAAATTAGCAATCTGATGTTCAGTTCAGAAAAAAAGTTGTATTGTTTAGTTGAGTTTAGATGGGTCTGTATGAAGTTTGCTATACAGCGTGATTCTTTCAGAACAAATCTGAATAATAGAATACATAGTCTCCATCGGAGTATTAACTAATTAGCAGTATACTTTATTTACGTACAGAACAAAATACTTCCAAGCCAAACACGATTAGCTTGAATCATTTCTATGTTCAATTAGTGTATTTTTGTTACCGAAAACCCAAACTGTTACGACTACATACTTTAAGTTCTCTGATAGTATCTTCCAGTATATTAATTGTGTTGACTGAGACTTGGTATGACTTCAGCAAGTCTTCGTTCTTTTTTTCAAGTGTCTCTATATCACTCTTTAATATGACAATCTCAGTCCCCTTTTCCCCCATCATAATTTCTAGTTTCTTCTCAAAATTTTCTCTGTCTGACTCTTGTTCTTTTGTTTTATCACTTAGTAACTTTTTCAGTTCTTTCACTTCATTTTTCAGGTCTTTTATCAAATTGTCTTTCTTTTGTGTTGGGGTTAAGTAATCATTTCCCTCGCACTCGTTACTATCATGCGCCACATGACATCTTTCAAATCTCGATCGACTCAATCTGGTCTCGCGGATACCATGGCTTTCTGAAGAGGTCTGTAAAATGCAGGACTCAGACATTCTTCTGTCTGATGGTGATATTGGTTTGTTTATGTCCCTAAATTTATGGAAATTTGAATTTGTTCTAGATTTCACGTGACTAAAGTCAAAGGTTTTGTTCTTGAACAATTTCTTTCCTGACGTTGGTCCTTTCATATTTCCTGTTTTACTTTTGTTTAAAAGAGAAGTATGCAATGGTGACTCATCGTTTGAAACTGAGGAACAACCATTCGAAAAACTTGAACCAGATGTATTTTTCAAATTTTTAAGGACATCAAGTGATTCGTCTTCAACATTTCCATTTGCTAATATCACTTCCGGTTCGATACTTCCGTTTTTCATCACTGCCGGTAGTATTGATGATGATACTGAGACACTTTCCAGACTGTCAGTGTCTACGTCGGACTTCTCAAAACTAGACAAAGTCAGGTTTTCTAATGTATTTTGTGTATTTTTTGTTGTGTCCAAATCACCAGTATCTTCAAATACCACTGCCTGTTCTTCTAGACCACACATACAATCTATTGCAGGTTCTTTATTTTCCTCCATCTGTTGCATCCTGTAATAATAGCAGGCATGTGTAATCACCATATTATATGTTAAATGGCTTCATTAGTTTTTATCACTGAATTCCTACTTGGTTATCTAAAAGATCTTTCCTTTTTTTTTCTTTTTTCATTCTTTATCAGTAGTGTTGCTATTATCATGTAATTGGTATAAAGTTTAAATCAATCTTTTTAATAGACACTTCAAATACATATCGAAAAGTTGCTGAGGACATTATTTATTATTTCAAACATATTAGTAATCGAAATTGATAAAAGGCGGGATGAAAATCTGTTACCACTACATAGAATAACATGATATAAAACAATACACTACTATATGATTAGTGTTACTCTCCAACTTTATAAGCTTAGTAGTTGTTTAACTTAGTACAATACTTTAAAAAAACTGAATTAACTATACTTTGCCTCAAGTATTTACCTCTATTTAAAAAATGTTGAATGACTATAATAAACAAGAAAACGTGTTCACGTTGCACTATAACATGTACATGTTCATTAAAAAGCGAAATATGTATTGTCCTGATTGTATGGTGAGGTGAAGCCCAATATACTACTTATAACGGTCTAAAGTTGACGACGGCACCGTCCGTTACTGGTCCAAATGATGGAACAATCTCAACCAGTTTGTGTGCAAGATACACTTGACCCGATATGTTTCTACATATGCGATTTGTACATGTTAATTTCATGTTAAAACTTACATGAGTCATATATATCTATCTACGTATGGATTACCATGTCCCTTGGTAAATAACAACCACAGCTGTTGTCTTTTTATTGTTTATATCATGTACATTCAATCGTGTATTTCTTGATCAATTTCATTTGTATCAAATTGTAATGATATATTTGAAAGGATCGGTATAATTCAATTATAATTCCAATAGTTAATTAATGTTAATAAAAGTAGAAACGCGAATGCTTTGTACAAATATACTAGCAGTCTTTTTTTATTTTTTTGAATTAGTTTGAATGATAATTTATGTATTTTCGTTTACCATGTTTACATGGTAGACTAATTGTAAAAGAAGTGTACACAATACTAGTATGTACAAATTTCAGTCTCAGTTTAAATTGCAAACGCATTTTCAGATTAAAATATCGTTCCTAGAAGGTGAAGGGGATCAATGAAAAAAAACTTCAAGCTTTATTATGATATTCAATATCCATATCTACTAGAAATTGAAGAATGCAGTCGGCAATCCTCGTGTGAACCCGGTATCTCCTGGTTAGGTGAATAACGGAATCTGTCGAGTTAAGACGAGAGTTGAAGAATGCATTATATTTCGCCGTTTTCTCTTGATTCACATCCTTTATAATGACTCAAAGCAAATTAAATGAGTCTAATAAGTTTCCATATTAAAGCCTCCTAGATAGCAAGTCCAACTTCATTTGGCTGATGTTTTCTAAAGATCCATTAAAAATATCCATACCCTACTGATAAAAATCGGAAGATACCAAATGCAAGGTACATGACATTAAAAACTCAGAAGTCGAAGAAAAACTGACAATGCCATGGCAACAACGAAAAACGACGAAAAGACGAATCAGTCCACAAAACACATAGAAAACTAAAAAATGAGCAAATTAACACGAAGCTCACTAATATCTCTGCATGACATATCATCGCTGTTATAGATTAATTACACATATATCATCGCTGTTATAGATTAATTACACATATATCATCGCTGTTATAGATTAATTACACATTTTTAACGCGTTTTTGGAGTAATTCATAATCAATATCCATGCTTAAACATGTATGAGGGTCTGGATGAGGGTCTGTATGAGGGTCTGGATGGGGGTTCTTCATTTCTTTATTCTTTAATTTTTAATATATTTTGTCTCTATTCTTGATATTTTGTGCCCATTATTCTCTATTCTTGATATTTTGTGCCCATTATTCTCTATTCTTGATATTTTGTGCCCATTATTCTCTATTCTTGATATTTTGTGCCCATTATTCTCTATTCTTTATATTTTAACACATCATTATTCTCTATTCTTTTTTCCCTTTATTCTGCACTTTTTGGCCCATTATTTCTGTAAACCCCATCCAGATCCTCGTGTATTATTCATAGGTATCGACTTGAATACGTTTTACTATTTTATCATCATTATCAAAGGGTTGTCCAAAAGGTTGTAGGGACCTCGGGGCCGTGTTTTAAGTAGTAAACTACTGTATCACTAGCCTGTCAACACTGAGCCTTTGTGAGGTCGAACCCCGCACTTGGCAGATGTGCTCGACTCCAATCTCAGTGATTGACTAGGATTGTCAGTTTTCCTGCTGAAGGTCGGTGGTTCCCTCTGGGCAATCCGGCTTTCTCTACCAATAAAAACTGACCGCCACAAAATAGCCATTAGTGCTGAAAGTGGCGTTAAACACCAATAAATCAATCAATCAATCCAAAAGGTTGTCGTGATTATAGAAATAGTCGTTCGAGATGATTGATTGTGGCAATTAAAAATATAAAACTGATAACAGGACTGGCCAAAAAAATAAGATAGTACAACAGAATACACCAACCTTCAACAACCGATTCCTTCAAGAAAACAGACACACAAACAAAGACAAACAACAACGAACATTACCCGGTTCAGATAGCCTAACATGGTTCAGACACTATAAGAGGAGTTTAATCAGTTTTACGTGCGAACGTGTCTCATATTACATATCTAGACTATAATAATTAAAATAAACAATGAATATCCTGCACAGTCAAGCTACCAAGAGTTGAATCTTACTTAAACGTATGTGACTGCCTGGAGTTTCGGAGAGGTTTTCTGGGTTCACACTCAAAAAAGTATTCAGATTCAATTACAAACTGGCATCTGTGATAAAGCCAGGAGTATAATGAAAGTTGCGTTAAACACCAACAATCAATCAATAAATCGGATTCAATACTAAGGTCTGGAAAGTCAAAGTAATGTAAGAGGCTACATAGCTAAAAAGGAATAGTGAAGCGGCGTGCACGGTCATTTTGCTGTAGTTATATACAAAATTCTCGGAAATCATTTTCTTCAAAAGAAGCGATTTTGGGAAAGGAACTTGAAATTTGGTATTTAATCGAATTCCTTATGATTCAAACAGAGTCGTTAGAGTCGGGTTGCATCAATCCTTGTGTACAGCATATATATAGGATATTCGAATAACTAAAATAAATCAACTGAGTGTGTGATGTGTTTAAAATCAAGCAGTTACAATAGGCACAATTAAACGTTTTCAAATGATGTATATACGCTTGGCTTACAATTATAACTTCCATGACTACCTGTTGCATATAATTCTCAACCATGTATCTGAAACTATGTTTCCCTATATAAAACAAAAAGAGTTAGGCTTGATACTTTCTATCATTTTTGGGTTGTTTTTTTTTTACAAACAAAAATTCCGAAGAGTTGACTCTGACTAAATTGGACATGAATGTTTTTGTAGCACATATAGTACTGGTACCGTATATCCAACTTTTTTTTAATAAAGATCATCATTTTTATGTGAAACCTACGTACATGGAAAGTACGTTGATAAAAGTTTTTAATTATGCATTTTGACTAATTTCAATTCTTGAACGATGAATTTCTATCTATCTGAAAACTTAATAAAACGCATCAAATAATGACTTTCAGCATAAAAACACGAACATAATAACTGCAGTTTTTAAGCATGAGACAAAAAACTAATAATAACACGAAAATAATTGCCAGTCTTATTGACATATAACCGAACATCTCTTTGTATCTATAAATTTCACTAAGACAATACAATGTGCTCCGTGTTGTAGGCCTCATTGTGACTTTGAGCTGAAGAATAGCAATAAAAGCGCTAATTCTTTGGGGTTTTTTTTATTTTTGCTGTGCATGTACTGATTTTGTGTCATGGATAGATACCCCATATCCTTTGTTTGTCTAGCAAATACAATTTTCTTGACCACAAATATTGTTTAGACCGTTTAATAATAAATTCCAGTCATCAGATGACACAAAGGAGAAGAGAGTTGTTTAATGTAACAGTTTTAAAGAGTACATAGAACTCGCCTCATCAATATTAGCGATTGACATGGCTTCAATTCCGTTATGGCGATCACAAGTTTAACAAATGTTATAATGTACATTAACCAAAACGTTTAACTAGTGATAAAGAATAAAGAAATATAATAACGAACTCTACTTACCTTCTTAAACCATCGATATTTATAGATCTGTCAACGTGTTGCAGATTTTGTGCGCATGCTTTTACAAATTGATTTTCAGAATGAAATATTTTATAAATATTTTTATGAATTGATTACAAGTATGTCATCAATATGATCAAGGTGTTATGTTCAGCCTGCAAACGTAAAGGGGACATTGTTATTAATGGTCTTGTGGACTACATCCGTCTGTTCGTCCGTCCGTCCGTCCGTCCCGTAATAGGTAAAAGTCTCGGGTTATGATATTAGTAGTTTACCATGCAGTCATGGTTACATCAACACCTGTTCATTATATAATGCGAACTTTTTATTATTTTGTTTGTATGTTCATATTTTGATATTTGTGAACGAATTTTAAAAAGTCTAAAATCTAATATTTGTCCTTGCTTTAATCTTAAATGAATTTATCTTCGGTGTCATAGATGAGGGCCTGGGTGGGAGGTCCTTCATTTCTTTCATTTTATATGTCATTTTTCTCTATTCTGTATATCTTTTGCCCATTATTACCTATGCTTTATATTTTAGCACCCTATTATTCGTTATTCTTTATATTTTAGCACCCTTTTGTTCTCTTTTCTTTAGAAGTTTGTCCTATTTTTCTTTAATCTTTTTTTTTCCCATTTATATCTATGGTCCATTTAACTGTAGATTAAGCCCATTATTCTCTATTCTGTAAACTCCATCCCGACCCTCAAAATGACATGAAATGTGCGTATAGGTTAATCCACATAAATTTGATGAATGCGTTTGTTTTGAATTCATACAATAGAAGTTTGATAAGGAGTATTATTTCCAAAATAAAATGGTAACTGTTATTTCATTTATAGAGTTTTCAAAGTTTAGAAATTACCATTTGAATCTTTCTTATTGGGTTTATAATAGACTTTTTGAAAAAGGTTACAATTATAGTTTTTTGTTCGACCACTTTGTCTGACAAAACGTTTTTGGTGATGAGCCACAATTTGCTAATCTACCGCTTGAAGCAACATAAACCTTTCTTTTCTGTTTTGAAATTCTATACAGTTTTTTTCTTAGCATTTTACAAGATAAGTGTTCCTATAATGTTTATGGTGTTGATGTGTGAAATCTACTCTGAAATACAGCAGCCGATATTAGAGTGTAAGATGGCATTAAATCCTACTATCAGGTTTAGTACTTCAGGGATTTTTATAATCCTTGCGTACTTTGAACTTATTTTAAGTAATTGCAAGGATTATTGATATGGTATCGTGTATCGTCTTTGATTGGTACTCGTGGTTATTTATATCGTTATTGTGGAGTATCTTGTACAGATTTTTTCTCATATAATTAGATATTGCGTAGATAAAAATGTAACCTTTTCCCATATTGGTTGGGTTTTGTGTAGTGTGTTGGAAAAAAGTGGAATACCAAAATGTCAAAAGAGGGAGGAAAATTTGTGGTTAAAATCACATTCCGGCATAGTCGAGAAAATATCACTTTTGCTCGGAGGTCAGATCTGAGGCTCAGATTCCTTATGTAATGTTTACTTACGGCGAGACTTTCGGCTTTAAAAAAATTACATGGCTTTTCATATAGCAAGTAATGGGAATTTTATTGACCTTATCATACATTTCTGAGTTTTCCCCACCTATTCATATATTCTCAAGCTGGAAAATGTAACCTATTCCAGCGGCACGTCCTATACCCAGATTTGGGAACCCCTTCATTGGTAGCATTCCTTATACGCTTCGGTAATTAACATCAAAGTGGTTTCAACGCATGGTCAAAACCGACCTGTGACCTTGGAGGTTTGGCGGAAGACCTTGGAGTTTTGGCGGTTGACCTTGGAGGTTTGGCGGTTGACCTTGCAACCTAACGTCTCATTTTAAAGGACCGGTAAAAATGTTCAAAACCGAGAATCAGATCAATTTAAAACTGCATGTTGTGCTTAGAAGTGACCTGGTGTCCTATGATGGTCTGGATGGGTTTACAGAATAGAGAATAATGGGCAAAATATGCAAAATTAATGACAAAAAAAAGAAAGAAAAAGGAAAAATAGGGCAAAAAAATAAAGAATAGAGAATAATGGTGTACTAAAATATAAAGAATAAAAAAATGCCCTTAAAATTAAAGAATACAGAAATGAAGGACCCCCAGACTCTCTCCTATGGTAATTTTATTTGTAAACGTGACCTTGTGATTTAGGGGTGGTACCCTACTGGGAGTCCCACAAAGATTACCTTCCATCTTTTTATTGAATACACTAGCTTCAGAAGTCAATTCCATACGTTATGTGAATAAAAAAATGGAAATTCTTATTAAATTCAATCGATTTTGTGGAATATTGAAATCCGTTTCCAATCTTTCGACATTCTAACTGATAGGATAAATCCTTTATGGTGTTTCTGACAAAACTTTAATTCATCGTCTTTATTTCTTTCTCATTTGAATAGCGGAGAAAGGATGTTTGGATATTTGGTGTAGAAAGAAAAACAGGTTTCCTTGAAAAATACTAATACTGAAAAAAAGAGAAAAATCAATTATTGTATTCGATAGCGTCTTCTTTGACTTCGATGAATATTCATCGTTCTGTGTGAATTTAATTCTGAACTCATTTGAAGCACAAGCAGAATTTATATTTTGTTATATAGATGATGTACATAACTATTTATATCTAATCTACCATAAAGAAACAAAAGAGTGTGATATATACATATGATTAATTTTACTTCTCCCATTTCGGCGGCAAATCATTCTCGGCAGGGTGACCATTCGACTTTGTTAGGTGTATAAATACGTAGCTACGTCCGTTCGGAATACTACAATGGGGGCGTAGGTTCGATGCTTCGTGTACGAGTCTAACGATCTTTGAAAGGTACAGCAGGGGCGGATTCAGGCGGGGGCGTGCAGCTTACGTGGCAGGCGTGCGCCTCCCCCCCCCCCCTAAAATTTGCAAAGCATGGGTTGTCCTCAGCTTAATAAAGACTATTTCGATAATTTTACCTCAAAAAAATTTTCGCCTCGCACCGCTCCGCGAAAATTTAAGTTTGCGCCCCCCAACCTAAAATACTGGATCCGCCCCTGTACAGAGCCCTTGTATCAACTATTTGAATGATTCTTATGTGGCCTGTTAAAATCTCGAATTAAAACATGCACTTTGCAGAATTATTGTCAATTTGTTCTTCAAGTGTTCTCAATATGAGTTGTTTTGACACTAACACTAATAATTGACATTATCAGACCAATAGCACAAAATAAAAGTCAAGCAAGTATATGGTAAAGTCCCTGAATGAGAAATGCATGTACTTTCTAAACTTTTCGTTTATAAAAATAGTGTTTATTGTTTGTATAGCCATTAGGTCGTTCCTGTTCACAGAATACTGTGGGTGACTGAGGTATAAGAATGCATTCACCTGGGGCGTATTTTATTGGTCTCTTCCGTACATCTCCAGAACGTTTTCTTTTGAAGAGTCTAAAAAAAAGATTCTAGACTTCTTCTGGAGATATTCTGTAGAAGAAGCAATAAAACACAAATTCAATTTGCCGTCGAATATAGCAGAATTTTTTTATGTTGGATGAAATAAATGAAGTTTATGATGATTTATTAGAAAATTTAGTTACGTCATTTCATTCGGTAGGTCTGGATGACTGTAATAGTGTACTCAGTTTTGGCATTGCTGTAATCATGTAATAAGTCACATGATAAGTGTCCCTTTTTTCTTTATGCTTTCCTAACTTAATTTAGCTAAACAAATCTGGCTTAAAGCTCCGACCATTTGATTTTAGGAATAATCTTAACCTGTATAATAATTTGTCAACATTTATCTGGTATATGATCTAAAAGGACATCTTGTATATCAAAAATTTTAAAGTAACCAAACTGGATTATTTTTGTTTTAAAAAATATCCACCATTGTCCTACAGAGTTTTCAAAATCTTTTTTCCCAGGTGGTCCTTGAAGAAAATCTGCTGGTCCTAACTATTGTTTCTTCTGCAAAATACCAAAATTGTGTCGGTCCTTGCAAAACCTTGGCGGCCAAAAACTTCGGACCACCACTTTTCGAGAACCTTAATTGTATATGTTTACAAGGTATGCAAGGTCATGCGTTTCTCAGACTGTTTATGACTAAATCCGTTGGTTGTGTACTGATTGATACTATAGTCTCGAAGGACATGGTTTATTTGTTAGTTTTATTGGCTTTGAACAAGCTTTCAATAACTGCAAATACTCATAATTATTCCAATGCTTTGTGTCTATTGTCTAAATGTGAGTTGTTTTTTTTTTTTTTTTTTTTTTTGTGTTGGATCTCGTCCCGATCTTAAGAGTTAATGCGCATCTGGTGCAGAAAAAAATGGTACCGTTTATGTTATTTATCCAATTGCAACTATTTTTTACAGTTTGTTCTTTTACACCATTGTCCCAGTTTGGGGAAGAGTTGAGTGTTCACAAACGTGTTTTACCCTGCCATATTCTTTATGTGCCTGTCCCAAGTCAAGAGCCTGTAGTTCAGTGGTTGTCGTTGTAATATATCCGTGTTTTACCCGCTCAATTGGCTTATAATAATCAATAATTATATTTCTGTTCTTGTTTTCTATTTTATAAACTACATATATACTACAAATCTCAGTTTTGTCTACACGTACTGTTCTTATCTATAAAGTCATGCATATTCAATAGCTATTTAGGTGTGTCAAAATTGTATCATACGCGTTAATGACCAGCCAGAAGTCACTGTTATGATTTCATTAACCAATATTAAAAAGATAAATATAATAGTGCTAGTTGGTTCATGTCTGTCGACTCATATTTGATTTTTTTAAATTGTTTTGTTATTTATAATAAGGCCGTTAGTTTTTTCGTTTGAATTGTTTCACATTTTTCATGTCGGGGCCTTTTATAGCCGACTATACGGTATGGTTTTTTGTCATTGTGGAAGGCCGTACGGTAGCCTATAATTGCTTACATCCACTTCATTTGAACTCTGGTGATGAAACTTCATCTGGATTACAAAATTGTTTGGACAATTTAATGGATTATTGTAATATATGGGGACTAGAAATTAACATGAAAAACCCAAAGTGTTAATTTTTAGTAACACAGGAAGGATATCAAAGGAAAAATTCACATTTAATGGTCAGCTTATAAATAATGAGAAAAAATATAATCATCTTGGCATTATATTCACTGTATCTGGCAGATTTACAGATGCTAAGTTCAATCTATATAATAAAGCATTAAAAGCCTTTTTTAAATTAAAAAGATATTTTACTCATTTTAAACCTAATATATGACCACATACTGAAGCCAATTTTATTATATGGCTCAGAAATTTGGGGCCAATTCTCTCCACATAAGTTACAATCAAAAGGGGATAACTATTTTTCCCAGATGTGCAAAGATCTAGTTATTGAAAAATTACATGTTAAAGTTTGTAAATATTCTCAACAGGTACCTAGAAGATCAACTAACCTAGCAGTGATGGGAGAGTTGGGGCGATACCCCCTATCTCTTGAGGTTATTCTTAATATGACTACATTTTGGGTCAGACTTTCAGAACAAAATAACTCCCTCATTAAAGAAGCATTTGAAGAGTCCAAAATTTTATCTAATTAATGTAACGACAATTGGCTGGGAAGCATTCATTATTCAAATATCTTAGTTTAACCGCAGAATATTTGTTAAATCACAAATCTTATATAAAGTCAATTATCATTAAAAAAAAAAACTCCAAATTAAATATGATGAAATTTGGCTTAATCAATTAAATAGTGACAAACCTGGCATGGTGCAAGGAAACAAATTAAGAACCTATAGACTATTTAAAAATAATATCGGCCCTGAAAAATATTTACTGTTAAATAATTGTAAAACAATAAACGAGCTAACCAAATTTAGAATCAGTGCCCATGAACTTGAAATAGAAAAGGGAAGACATAAAGGAAAACCCCCAGACAAAAGATTTGTAAATTATGTAATAATGACATTGTTGAGGATGAAATTCATTTTCTTCTTCAATGTCCATCACTTAAAACTAAAAGGTCCAGTTTCATTTTAGATTTATCCTCTAAATTTACTAATTTTAAAATTTTACATGACCAATCAAAATTTGTATGGTTGATGTCAAATGATGATCCATTTGTAAATAACATAATGATAAAGTTAATAGATAGTTTGATAAAGACTAGAAGAGCAAAATTAAGTGATAAAACATGAGTAGCCCCCAGCTCTTCTTTTAATAATACAACGGTACTGATTGTGTTCACTCACTCATTATCTTTGGGAATATACTGTGTTTGTTGTCTCCCTTCTCCTACATAGTTTTAGTTTTATTGTCATGTATTGTAATATCAAATAGTTCAATGAAAAAACATCACCACAATTATTTGTACACTTTAATTTAACTGTAATTGTACTGTTCCTCGGGGCGTCTTGATTGACAAATAAAAATTGTTGTTGTTGTTGTTGGTGGATAATTGCCTCATTGCCAATCATACCACATCTCTTTATTGTTATATTATATACTTGACTTTTAAACTCGTGTTTTCCTGAACATGCATGAAATATTTGTCACTGGACGTTAAAAATAAGCAACCAACAATCAATCAATTTAAACTCTTGTTAAATAAGGGTAAAACCATTTGATATATATTTTTTTTGGGGGGGGGGGGGAGAATTTTGAATATAATTTGGTGGCCTGGTAAGAACTGAAAAAAGGCATGCTTAGAGACAGATTAAAATGAATAATAAATCCGCAAAAAATCCTCTTGCCCCCTCCCCCTCCCGAGAATATCAAATAGTCGTCCCCGTACTGTCATTGTCCGTGTAGTTCTTATATCTATCCAGCTTATCGTCTCTACAGGGATGTGCTTCTAAGGCTTCCATACCATAAGAACAGTTATCACTCAGCTCACATTCTATTATATCTGCATTCATAAATTTATTAGTGTCATTTAGACTAAACGACGCCATGTTTGTTATGTGCCGCTGCCGTCTTAACTACCTATTTAAAGGGAAGAGGTAGAAGAGCGATAGAAGATCTTCCCAATGCAAAAAAAAATAAAAATGGACCTCTTCTGGCTCACTAACGAAGAATAAAAAAACACGCCCCTGGACTTCTACCGCCTGGTAGTAAAACCGATGCTGAGAATGCGGACGTTTGGCTGTGCGGGGTATATACATACGTAGACTGTCTGCGTTAAATCATTGGTCCGTGTTAGAATAATGCCGCTCCTTTTGCACTTTAAAAGAAATTTGCAACAAGTCTTTGCTGCGGGCCGATATGGGGGCTTTCACAAGGCAAAATGTTTGTCCCTGTTCAATGTACTCTTGTTGTCCAGCTAGCTAGTAAGAAAAACCCGTCCTTCGAACTCTATCAAATTTCTAAAACCTTTGAATTCACTGGACGGTCATCAAATAGAGACATACAAAGCAAATCACTGTCATTTTGAACTAATGATGTATCTAACTTCCTCTTTGTAAGTATCTAATTGTTTACAAACCATGTTCTGATCACAGGGACTCGGTTACTGCAGATTAAAATTTTGTTTATCAATTTTTTTTTCAAATCTTTTTTCGTATTTCCTATTCATTTGTTTTACATTATTAACGTTTTTAACGTTGGCATCACTATTTCTTTGTTTTCTAGCAATGTGCAGTTTACTATCCATATCCGTATACTGAAAAATTGATTTTTCAGTATACGGATTTTCAGTATACGGATCATGATGGATAGTAAACTGCATATGTTATTTTTTTCTTTTTTTTTTATAAATGTGTCAAACATGCTTTTTCAACACTCCTTTGTCAATTATTATAGTGTTCAGAAAATATTTTGAACAATTGTGTTTCATATGTCTTTTACTACTATAAGTAATATTTTTTTACATTTTCAGCAAAGCGTTCAAGAACTTTATCTAAATCTTCTCTTCTTATTTAAAACTTATGATTTCTTGAAGATAAATAAGGAAAATATTATTTGCAAAGCCTAACTACAATTGCAAGTTTGTGATAATGTTAAATATATAGGGCTCGTAAATTAAGATAGGAACCATTTTATCTTATTCGTCCTTTGAATATTTTGCACATTTTTGCTATCTATAGAAGCTTCGGCAAAAAAATGGGTAAAAATCGTTTTGGAAAAATATGGAATTCATTTTAAATTTTGTCCCTGTTGACTTATTTGTAGTTTTTTTCTAGCTGGTCATATTTTCTAGTAAAACTATCCCTCTATTTATTATAGTTTTCAAAATAACTGCTAGCTAAAAGCACAAAAAGTGGGCATGTTGAACTGTTACACCACTGTCCCAGGTTAGGGCACCTTCAAACATGTTTAACGGCGATACATTCTTTATGTGCCTGTCCCAATTCAGTGGTTGTGTTTGTTCGTGTTTGTCATATTTGTTTTTCGTAAATTATTTTGTAAAAATTAGGTCGTTAGTTACCTCAGTTTAATTGTTTCATATTTTTATGTTGTGGCCTTTTATAACCAACTATCCTGTATGGGTCTTTCTCCATGGTAGCCTACAATTGCTTACATCCACTTCATTTGAACTTTGGTGGATAGTTCTCTCATTTGTAATCATATCACATCTCCTTATTTTTATAAACATTGTTATCGATGACAACTAAGCCTATAAGGAGTCCACTGATGATTTCAACCATGTTCACTTATTTGTAGATTGTATTTTGCTGATCATTCGTGCTATTTAGAGTTTCTCTCTGGGTAAAGAGTGTCTTTCAAGGGCAATAACTCTTATAATGTGCCAACTAACGATTTCACAATGCTGATTCAATTGCAGATCTTCTTTTGCTAATAATTTTAGTCATTCTGAGGTTTTTTTCTATCCATAATAGGTTCTGAAAAACACAAAAAGAGGTCAAAAATGGTCTTTCGCATTTGCTGTAAAAAATGGTGTTCTCAACTCCTCCTACATTTAATGTAAATTCAGATATTATTGCGTGCACTTATTTTTGCAATTTATGAAGAATGGACAATAATGCGAGATCAATTATTGTGATTTCAGGAAATTCTGCATACAGATGCATATATCAGATATCAGAATGTGAGTTCTAATTATTGCGATACTAACCGAGTCGCACTATTTGCGTTAATAAAAACCACACAATAATTTCTGAATTTACAGTATTTTGTCTAATTTTACAATTTGGTGGTTTTTGAAACAAGAGTGCTCGCTCTGAAATGTCTCACCTGCCCTACTTACCACGATTGAACTTATGTTGAAAGTTTGTAATAGAAAGGTTTTACTACATGTACAAGTATCACTTAAACTTTACAGTATCAATGTATTCATGGTCCGAGGAACCCCACCAGACACCTTATAATCATACCATACACCAAATATAGTTAGCATATATGGATAATGCATAGACTGTTTATTTGTCCCACTTTTAACGTTGGCTAGTTTGGGGCCTCCCCTTTTTCAAAATCCTGGATCGCTTTCTGTCATTGGGTTGTTTTTTGATTCATTCATGTATACACCACATCTCTTTTTCATCCTCTTCAAATGGTATATTTACCACATGCAAGGACATCAGTGAACACATGATAGGTCTTCCAAAGACTCTTTTTGCCATGAATCTGTTATGGAATGTTTACAGTAGAATATGGAAAATCAAAATAAAATAAAACTACATAATATTGCAATTTATTTTTGAAAAAGAAAATAGATAAAGCCAAAAAGCAGCACTCTACAGTCAATTTCCTATACAAGTATAAAATACAACATGTGTTAACATATTCCTAAAGTCAATTTCCTATACAAATATACAATACAACAACAGCCTGGTTGCTCTATTATATTCCCGTCCTTAAAACATCAAACAAGGACATTTTATTCAACAACAGTTACAAAAATTATAACATATTCATATTATGAAATAAAGCTCAATGTTTTATGCAATCATATCAGTGAAATATAGAATTTGAGTTATCTCTCTTTGTATAGTAAATTGATCATACAGAAATACAATTTTTTCCTGTCTTTACATGCCCATTTTTAAACAAATCTTTGATGAGTACCAAAATCATAAAAGCAACATTACTATATCTTTATTGGGTAGTGACTGATAGAAATACTTGTAGACAGACAATCAAGTTAACTTCAAATAGTCAATGATTATAAAAGAGTCTGGATAGGAGGGTCCCTCATTTCTGTTTTTAAATTTTCTTTTATTATTTTTCTCCTTTCTTTATAATTTTGCTCATTATTCTCTATTCTTTAATTTTTTTGGCCTATTTTTCTCTATTCTTTTTAACAGATTTTATTGTTCATTGAAACCAGTCTGAACCAAAATCAAATATCCCTTTCAATCAGAAAAAATATCATTTTTTTGCATAAAATTGTAAATATTTTTTTTGGTCTAGCTACACTCAGCAATAATTTTATCATTATAAACCATTACAACCCCTTCCTTTCATCAAACCCTGGATCTGCCCTTAACAAGATTTACATTGTAAGTTTTTGACAATTTTTAGCTTATGAAAAAAGATGTGGTATGATTGCCAATGAGACAACTCTCCACCAGAGACCATGGTCTCTTAAAGAAGAATTACATTGTTTATTGTAACTTCCAATCATAAGAGAAGTTTCCCTCTTTTTAATTTATCAAAGGAAGATAATTACTGGTTCATAAGTTGAGTTTGCCAACACCAAGTTTTGACGCAATATTTTTAAATTAAAATATTTTAAAAAAATAATTTATTATTAAAGTTCTAGTGCTTTGCTTCTAGTTAAGTAAGTTCACTGTATAATAAAACTTAGCAATGTTTTCTTTACAACACATGTCCATTTATCACGAGGCAATTTTAGTTACTATGGAAATGTATTTACAAAACAACAGCAACTATGGTTATTTATGTACATTAAAACAACAATAACTGTAATGACCTGCATGTAAAAATATTCTAAACAGCAAAAAAGAAGTTTTTTTTCTTTTCCTTAATCATAAAAGTACAGTATTCATCAAAAATGTAGAATATAGATAAAGAACAAACCACAAGAAAATTGATATTTATATTTCCCTCTTTGAAGTCTCATAAATGTACATTGTCTTTTCTTTCAGCACATCATGTGGAGAAAAAGACAATTTACTCCAAGTTTTAAGATGCAATCAAGTCACCAGTATCTGAAAATTTACCACAGATTTTTTTTTTTAAAGTGCAGAATTTTTTTTTTTATAAATCTAAAATTTGATAAAATCTATTGTGAATGATTTTTAAGTCCTACCAACTTTTCCATGAACTTTTGAAGAATCATGCAAACAACTATTGCTGTGGTATGTGGACTTTTTCTCTCTTAAATTGTAAAGTTTCAAATCTTATAAAAATTGCAGTAATTAATAACAATTAATACACAATATGTCCCACAAAATTTACATGTAACAGATTTTTACAACCAAAATGTTTATTATAATTTTCTATTCTGTTTTAACAATCAACATGATCAATACAAAGCCAACAATATATATAAATAAATAAAAGTCAACAAGTAGTATAAAATGTGTGACCTATAGCTATGAAATGATTTTTTCCTTAGGTAGGTACATATACAGTAGCTGCAGAACTGTACATGTAGCTCTAAGGTCGTTATATTTTTTGACAATTTGTGGACAAAAGTTTATGGTCTGTTTTATATGGTCTGCAAATTGTCAAAAAATATCATAAGGCCCTAAGAGCTGCGGTTCCGCAGCTACATTTACAGTACACATAAAGAGATTCAGTAAAAATTCAATGTTGCCCATTTTTAAACAGTAGTACTAGTACACATGCACTGACCCTATCTGCTGTCCCCTCTTTTTCTTTTCTTTTGTTTGGGGATAGTGGGTCTCTGGACAACCATTTTTTCAACTTTCATAAAAAAAATCTTTTTCAATAAAATACATTTACTAAAATAAATATTTTGTATTTTCTTGTAGAAATTAAGAATCAAAACAATTTATTTGAACAAAAAACACAATTCCTTCATAAAAGATGACTAGTCAGTGCATAATGCGACAGTCTGACTTCATTTACTTTGTATATTTCAATTGAAACATGGTAGTTACTTTATAAAGCAATATTGTCTTTGAAATTCAATGTTAAAGGCAACCCCTTTGACATGTTTGATAATCTATTAAAACAAATTTACAGCTTGGATTGTCTAGACTTAACCTACCGTAGTTGGAGCAGGATATTATGTGTAGACACTCACTTACTGTTAACATAAAAATAAGGAGATGTGGTATGATTGCCAATGAGACAACTACCCAACAAAGTTCAAATGAAGTGGATGTAAGCAATTATAGACAATTAAGACCATTTATGTTGACCTCATGACCTAAGTTATCATTCAATCCTTAACAACTCAATGAAAAGGGAAATAAAAATCCACAATATAAACAATTTCATTTAAAAGTTCTGTACAAACATTGAATTAACAAATTTAACCTAGATTAGTATTACACATGCACAAGACATACATGTAATACCTTTGATTAAATTACATACATGATCATATACTAGAACAAAAGCACATGATAAATATACACATGATACATATATCATTTTCAATGAAACAGTGAACATATACATTGTCAATCAATGTACATGTATTTATAATTAAATGCTTTGGGCTTGATTAGTTAATTTCAGTAAACACTTTTAACTGTCCATGTCTGACTAAAGCTGCCACACTTTTAACTGTCCATATCTGGTTCAAGATGCCACACTAGATGTGCAGTGAATTCTAAACGGTTTCCGAGTTTTTTCATACATTTTCTGCATGTGAATGGGTCAGCCTCATCAGCAGAGTGGAGCGAGTTATGTAACAAACACATGGTATAATCCTCAAACCAAATACAACAGTGCTCGCATTTACTTAATTTCTTCTCCTTCTCTTTAGAGATTGTTTCTTGGACAGGAGACACAGTTTGGCCTTGTCCAGCGCTGGCTGTCCCAACTATGTAAGGAGAAAAGTTCTTGGCTTCTAGCATAGTATTGGTGGTGTTGCCTGTATTTGTAGCCAAGGTGGCACTCCGTATCATGGGATTTTGCATTTGTCTTAGACGAGGAGTTGGTATTTTCATCGCTATTTTATTTCTCATTGCAGCTTTATAACTAGCCGGACCAAACAGTTTCATTTTAATACCTTTGTTTTCCGCTGGAGGCCCTGTTAACAAATCCTGAACTGCATTTTCACCAAGATTCCCTGTTTTCGAGTCATCTTGGGCCTCTTCATAATCATCGTCATTGTCCTCCTCCTCCTGATCTTCTCCAGCAATATCGTCAACGTAAGAGGAATTAGTTTCGTCTGCCTTATAAGAGTAATCCATACTGTATTCCGGACTTTCTGGTTCCTTTTTAATATGAGATGGCAGGATGAACATATTCATTCCATCTGACAAGGTATCTGCCGGGTAATTCTCTTCCTGTGGCGGAGGGGATCGGGCATATTTTATTGGATAGCTGTATGTGGCCACTTGTGGTTTCTCAAAAGGCGTTCCTTGTTTCGGAAGAGCTACTGCCAACCTGATAAAAGAGAAAATGTAATGAAAATGAAATGCATAATTACTATTGTCTTTCAACATGTTCAAAGTCTGAAATTTTTTAAGCTATTCTTTTAAGCAATACAAGTCAAAATGCAAGTGAGAGGTTTAGCTAGCTATAAAACCAGGTTTAATCCACCATTTTCTACATAAGAAAATGCCTGTACCAAGTCAGGAATATGACAGTTGTTATCCATTTGTTTGATGTGTTTGAGCTTTTATTTTGCCATTTGATTACGGACTTTCCGTTTTGGATTTTCCTTCGAGTTCGGTATTTTTGTTATTTTACTTTTTGTATTTAAACTCAAATGTAATTTCAGCTAAAACAAATTAGTGTTAATTAAAGTAATTAATGTAATTTTTTTTTCTTTTTGCAGAGAAAATAACAGGTGTCAACAGGTACAATTTATCATGTTCATATTTTTATTAGTAGCAGATGTGTTAAAGAGTACATGAATGTATGATGTTGAAACCATAATTTCTTAAAAAAACTAGTGTATAAATCTAAATTCTAATACACATAAAGACCAACATACTTAAGGAAAAAATTAAGTATTTTGCATTTAATGCTTTGGCATAAAGTACAATGCACAGATGTGGATGAACATGATGAAAAAAAGTCTATGACAATCAAACGAAAAAAAGATACCTCAGAAGCAGAAGCTGATCTGTGTAACTCTCCCAGTACACATGGTACAAAAGTCTCAGAACAGTACCCCATAAAAAACTAAAAGCTAAACTATGCCTTATGATTTATCGGATTCAACAAAAAATGCAATTCTTCTCTGAAATGCATTCCAAACTATCCTTTTATTGGAGAACTTTCATAAGAAGCCAAGACAAGAGACAATAACTTGAAACTTCTATTAATTCAGACAAAATGGCAAACTGTAGAGGATTTCCCTTCCCTGCTATGAAATTAAACTATAAATAAAAATTATGGGGGGGGATACATGTAGGTGATATATAGTTTTTAACCAAATGAATTAACGGGTCATGTGTACAATAATTACTTAACCCAATTAAAATAAAATGCTTCTCTGAGCGCAGCTGGATATGACCGCAGAGGTCCAACCCTGAACAGTTGGGGCGAAAATGGACACAATATTCGTGCTTGATACACATGATACAGGTCTGAATTTGGATTGTAATTAAATATTTGACACATAATAGCTTTCTGACACCAAATAACTGTAGTCAAAGAACTTAGAATAGGTATATGATTTGAATTTATATTCAATTTTTTTGCTTTTGAAATACACTATGCTGTTGCGTATTGACACCCCCCCCCCCCCCCCCCCCCCTTTTTTTTGCCAAAAATAAAATATTTGAAGAAATTTTCTGAAATCTAAAATGAAAAAAAAAATTGTCCCCCACAATTTCTTTTTTACCCCCCTCCCCCCCACCCCCCACCCCCCCCCCCCCCCCCCTTTTCCAAAAAAAAAAATTCTTTCCCTCAAGATATGGTCATAATCTCAATTCACAAATTTCCAATGGAGTTTGCAACCATAATTCCCAATTTAAATACATCATAAAAGTCTTAAATAGATAATTTAAAAGCAGTGTAAGGGAGGTAATCCAACATTGTACAACATTGTACAATTTTGTTTTTGGATTACCTCCCTTACACTGCTTTTAAATTGTCCATTAACCAGGAAACCTTTGTTTTTCCACCTTTTTTGCCCCTAATTCCTAAACAGTTTGAGCCATAACCCCCCAAAGCCAATCCTAACCATCCCTTTGTGGTATGGAAACGTGTGGTATAATTTCAGAGAGATCCATACACTTAAACGCAAGTTATTGTCTGGAAGTTACAAAAATGCTTATTTTTGGCCCCTTATTCCTTAACTGTTGGTACCATTACCCCCAAAATCAATCCCAACCTTCCTTTTGTGGTATTGAACCTTATGGTAAAATTTCATAGAGATCCATTCACTTAAACTAAAGTTATTGTGCGAAAACCAATGTGTCTTCGGAAGACGACAACGACGACGACGCCAACGTCATACCAATATACGATTTTGCGGTCATATAAATAGGTTACATGTATGATACAATTTAATCTTTACCAAATAGGAGTTTCAGAGGGAAACCGTAGAACAGTGCAGTCATGGGCTGAAGCAGACATGTATATTTTGGTCAATATAAAAATATGTTTGGTTGCTTTGTATGCCTTTAAAACCTTCAAACATAAACAAAATGATAGATAAAATGTCAATCATTATGTAAGTATGTTATTATTGTCATGATTATACCCTAGAGTGGGATATATTGCATTCATCTTGTCCGTTATTCCATCAAATATTTCCATCATACTTTTTTATTAATGTACACTTCCGTATACACAACATTCATATGTATACCAGTATGTCACTCATATGTTGAATAATTGCATTGTTTTGAGTATGTATATGTATGATTTTGTCCAGACTCAGTGAATATCCCCGGGGTTAAAAGGGTGCTCTGCACCTGTGGGGGATGCTTTTGCAGCACCCAGACCCCCTGCTGACAAATCCTGTGTGATGATTGCTCGCACAACCTCCCAACCCCACTGCAATTGATATGGTCGATTCGTTTGATTTTTATGTTTTCTTAATGTTAAGTTTAAAGGGGTATAACTCTTTGATTTGTCAATGGACCAGGCTGACCTACTAATATGTGAATTTTTACATCAGGAAATAATAATGTACAAATTTTTATGAACATCTGACATTAAAGCACTAGCATGTAGGAAGGGTTGCATCCTTCTTAATTTATATAGCATAGTTCCAGAAATAAGGGAGTAAAAAAAAACTATCTGGTTTTCAATGTTAGAAAAAGTCACTTTTGGAGGTAAATAAGAGGTTGGTCATATTTAATAAAATAACTTTTGCCACAAATATATTTTATAGTATTAACTATTATTAACCTGTGTGTTTCATCTGACACTGAGAATCCATCCATTTTAGAGGTGTAGCCATTGCCTCCACCTTGGGCTGCATTCACTACTTTGAGTAAGTCATCTGGTGCAGGTTGGGGACCAAGACTGAATTTAGCCAAACCAATCATAGGTGTATTTTGGTCACCATTCTCTCCCGGTTCTTGTTTAATAACCATACCACCCTCTACAGCGGGCCCTTCATTTTTCCCGTAGATAGAGATATGCAGATTTTTATGAGCATGCAGTTTGGTTATTTCGTCAAATGCTTCACCACATCTGTGACAGGTATAGACAGTGGATACACCATGTGCCTGTTGAAGATGAGAATGCAGGGTTTGTCTACGGAGAAACTTCTGACTACAAAGACGACACTGGTTTCTCTGTTTCTGTGGCATGTGAACCTTTAAATGCTGTTTGACATGATCAGAACGGGTGAAACGTCTACCACAAATGTTACAGGCATACGGACGCTCACCACTATGAACACGCACATGGCGCTGAAGTTTTGATGGAGTTGAGTATGTCTTTGAACAAACATAACAGGAGTGACATTGGTTTGATTTTCCACGTGCATGTGAAGCAATGTGTTCCTGCATTTCATCCGGAGAGTCGAACTGCCTCGCACAATATCGACACATATATTTTGTGACGACTTTGACAGAGTACTTGCCAGAACTTGGTGCTGTACTTGTACTCTGAACAGTTTGTATACTTATTCCATCTAGGTTATCTTCATCTTCGTCCATTTTCTCAATTTTAATTCCTTGACCATTTGTTTCTCCTCCCAGCTCATCTTCATCGATCGGCTCCTGTTTAATTTTAGGCTGGTTATTTCTGACAGTACTTTTAACGGTGGACATAGCATTTTTTGCCAACATTCGGGTGATTTCACTTTCAACGGCTGATTTAATGTAATCGTCTGAGGTATTCATCTTGTATACTAGTTTAGTGATCGGCTCCAGTGTATATTGGTTACTTCATACCATGACAATGGGAAATTGTCATCTAAAATGAAAAAAAAATAATGTATTATTTAGTTCAGTGTATCATCTTAACCATGTACAAATATAATATATGTACTGTGTAAAATGTAGTTTTATGATGATTTTATTACTTGGAAAAGGGGGAAATTATATATCATAATATAAAGAACCTCAAATATTTTAATCAATGTGTGTATATATACAAGATTGTGATCATATGTTTACTCGTGACCTCATCAGTTAATGTGGATTCATTTGTTTGTGTGGGTAGCAATTTGTGTAGATTGAGGAAAAAATTGTATTTTAGTGGATTTGGGAATTCATGGTTAGGGAGCTACCATTTGATTTTTATGGGGGGGGGGGGGGGGGGGGGCTAGAATGAAATTTGAAAAAAAAGGCAGGACAGGAGTTTTGAGTAAAAAAAAAGGCAGGATGAGCAACTTGGCAAAAAAAAGGCAGGATAAACTAATAAAAAAAGGGCAGGACAGAATTGAGTGAAAAATAAAAATGCAGGACAGAGATTACAAATAAAAAAAAATGCAGGACAAAATTTTTCATCCTAGCCCCCCCATAAAAATCAAATGGTAGCTCCCTTATGCCAAAGTCTGCATACAAGCTTATACAAAATTTGTACTTTATTTAACATTGCAATTTGTGGTCCACCTTTACCACGTAAGCAACAAAAATTGGTATCCCAAAGATAATATTTATGTCTTCTGATGAATAAAGAGCTGTGACATAAGCGCATGATACACCCTTTGACCTTTAAGCTCGTCTTTATGTTTTAAATGAATTCATTTGATCTACTAGAAATACTGTGAGCAAATAGAAAACAGACATGCACACACGGTGGTACCCATTGACATAAATGACGATTTTTCAACGAATAAAGTTCCATAACTACACGAATATCAGAAATTTATATAAAACAAAGGGAGCTTATTTCAATAATTATAAACAAGTCACCAATGTGGCGTGAAAACTGCTCAAAACGTTTTTGAGTTTTTGTCTGAAAACTGGAAAATCCCCCCTTTTTCATGAATAAAGTCCTAATACTCCAAAATGTAATACATATTAGGGGTTTGATAAAGCCTTTGATAAATCCATATTATCATGGATGAAAGCTGATACAGCATGATAGTCATTGATTGTATTACACAAATAATCTACTTGTATTTACTTAGTACTAGTATATAATAAACTAGTTTAGTACTAGTTACCATCATGTCCTGACTTATCACCATCAAGAATTCAGTTTATCTTAAACACTGGTTTACAGAAACTGAATTTGGAAATAAAAGTTAATTGGGTGGCCTTAATTCAAGCCTCATCTTGTTAATATTGGTTAGTTTGGTAGTCCAAAAAATTTCTATAATAAATGGACTGTGGAAAGAACACAATTTGGACTGCTTTCACATTTTGTCATGGTGGGACCTTTTATTGTTTCCTATACGAGAGTTTGGATGGGGTTTACAGAAAAAAAAGAATAATGGACAAAAGGTGCAGAATAAACATGATAAAGGGCACAAAAAATAAAGAATAGAGAAAAATAGGATTCCAAAATTACAGAATAGAGAATAATGGGGTGCTGAAATATAAAGATTGGAGAATAATAGGCAAAATAAATAAAGAATAAAGAAAAAATTGCCTAAAAAGTAAAGAATAAAGAAATGAAGGACCCCCATCCACACCCTCCTATAAGGTATGGGCTATGTGTTTTGCCCATTGGTGAGGCTGTAAAGTGACACCGTGCCCTACTGTTGTTTATATCCTTGTCCTTAGATGTTTGATGTATAAATAGAGGTCTTACTAGAGAAAAATAGGCCCACAAAATAAAGAATAAAAAATAATGGGGTCCAAAAATATTAAGAATAAAATAAAGAATAATGAGCAATAAAAATTGAGAAAAATATCCTAAATTAAAGGATACAGAATTGAGGACACTCATGTCTTAAAAACAAGTTGTATAATACTAATCACTCACTTTTGTATAAATTTTATTTCACCTGAATTAAAGTATTCTTTCATTGTTGTGTTGTAAGGGAGATAACCTGAGAATTCTTTGTAATAACAGAAATAAATATAACATGGCACTTATTATTTCACCTGAATTAAAGTATTCTTTCATTGTTGTGTTGTAAGGGAGATAACCTGAGAATTCTTTGTAATAACAGAAATAAATATAACATGGCACTTATTATAACTCTAATCAACTCAGCCGTAGTATAAGTGATAATAATTGTTCTGTTTAATGTATTGTTGTTTTTTTATTTCGTTCCATTTTATAAACACATGTACAAAGATCATAGATCAAATGTATTAGTTCAGTGTGTGTTCACTTGTTTTTGTTAATATGTCTTTTGATTCAGTTAAGCCATTTCAATTGATATTTCATAGTATGTCTTTCTATGTTGTGATGTTACACTATTGTTTCAGGTAAGGGTGAAGGCTGGTGCCTAGTAAAATGTTTAAACCCTCTGCATTTGTTTGCACGTGTCCTACAAATGTATGTCAGGAACCTGATGTTCAGTGGTTGTCATTGGTTGATGTGGTTCATAAGTGTTTCTCATTTTTTATATAGATTAGACTGTTGGTTTTCCTGTTTGAATGGTTTTACACTAGTCATTTTTGGGGCCCTTTATAGCTTGCTGTTCGGTGTGAGCCAAGGCTCCGTGTTGAAGGCCGTTCTTTGACCTATAATTGTTTACTTTTTACACATTGTGACTTGGATGGAGAGTTGTCTCATTGGCACTCATACCACATCTTCTTATACATTGTATCTATGTAATGTAATTATTTTAAATTCATTTCAAACATCTTTTAAAATACAATTTGCATCTAAATTGGGTAAATTATTCATTATCAAAGAAAAAAATATAATTACCCTTTCCATAATAAGTATTTAAATATTATTAAAGACATGTTTAAAAATATACTAATATATCCCAAGATTTATCTGATAGAAAAGTATTTTTGTTTATACATGTTATAAGAATATATTTTTTTTTTTCAGGTGGGTTATCAATACAGAATTATATTTATACTATTTTCAAAACAAAACATTACTACATGTACAACCTTTAACTACAAATGTATTGTTTTTAGGCACTATTCAAAATTTCTATTCTATGCCTGAGACATATATTGGCAACAAGATGACATCTTGTGATATGATGCTGCCATTATGATTTCATTGAAAATATTTAATTAGGAATTAAAATCTTATTAGACAATCAGGTCTTTAATGTTATTGCAAAATTTATTAAAGTCAATATGAGTTAGATCTATTTATTTTTTCATGTAACTACATTATTTATACTATAAACCAAGGGCTTTGTTACAGTCTAATTGTATTGTGATTGTGTAATTAAATTATATGTATCTATGCTAATCAATGTTCTTTTTCCTAATACACGTTCTCTATATGCCCCTTGTGGGCCCTTAATTGGTAATAAAATATGTTCTTGTTCTATTTTCAATAAAAAAAAATTTAAATATATATACATGCAATATAAAAATAAGAAGATGTGTTATTATTGACAATGAGACATCTCTCCATCAAAGACCAAAATAAATGGGGAATGTGTCCATGGGACACAGGTGATGCCCCTGCTTGCATATAACGTTATAAAGGAATATAACTCAAGAACTGTAAAAGTGACACTACCCAAATTTGTACTTAATCTGAGTTTTTGTGGTAATAAGCATTGTGCATAAGTTTCATAACATTTGGTTGAGGCAAACTTAAGTTAGAGAACAAAACAAATATTTCAGGAATTTTTCCATTTATAAAGGGGCATAACTCTAAAACGGTAAAAGTGATGCCACCAAAACTCACACTTGAGCTGTGTTTTGTGGTAATAAACATTGCGTATAAGTTTCATAACATTTGGTAATGGCAAACTAAAGTTAGAGAACAGAAACGAAAAATTCAGCAATTTTTCCATTTGTAAGGGGGCATAACTCTAGAATGGTAAGAGTGACGCCATCAAAATTGAAACTTGATCTGTATTTTCTCGTAATAAGTATTGTGTATAAGTTTCATAACATTTGGTTGAGGCAAACTAAAGTTAGAGAACAGAAACGAAAAATTCAGCAATTAATCCATTTGTAAAGGGGCATAACTCTAGAACAGTAAATGTGACGCCACCAAAATTCAAACTTGATCTGTAAGCATTATGTATAAGTTTCATAACATTTAGTTGAGGCAAACTAAAGTTAGAGAACGGAAACCAATGTTGGGACGTACAGACGGACAAGGGTAAAACTTAATGCTCCCTCCGCTACGGCGGGGGCATAAAAAGTAGTTAAAAACTATAGGTCACCATATGGCCTTCAACAATGTGCAAATACTAAATATTAAGCCATAAAAGCCCGGAAATGACAAATGTAAAACAATTCAAACAAGAAATCTAATCGCCTGATTTATGTACAATGTATACAATAAATATAATACAAATATGATATACAGCAACAAACGACAACCACTGAATTACAGGCTCCTGACTTAGGACAGGTAAATAGAGAATGCTGCTGGGCACACAACCCTCCGGATCCTCTACCTGGGACAGTAGTGTAACAGCCCATCAAAAGAATTAACGACATTTTTTGACAAATCTTTAATTTAAAAAAAGATATATCTTTTTTTTTAAACTTTAAAACCATTACTTGGTTAACTCTTATAATGAGAAAAATATAAAATAGAAGGAGCCTTATATGAATGATATTTTAATAGATTATGTGGAAAATAAATTTATATTGTATGTCATGTATGAAAACCCCATATCCAATCCCAATATGCACATATTTAATACATTCATTGTGACCACAAAAAATAGCAGCTTTACACATTTAAATGTTACAAGAGAAGACATTGTCTAGTATTCCATACTTTAATTAGAATTGAATAACAAATGAGTGTGTCTATTTTTATCCAGCCACGTGTAGTATTTACCTTTGTCCTCAAATCTGATTAGCTGCGCCACCTACCGCAGGTCACGGAACTAATTTATTCCTATAATACCCACTGCCCTTAACGAGGTCACAGACCGTACACAAAAGGAAATTTCCCAAAATTAGGGAAATTAAAACAAACTACTATTATCTTCTTACTTCAACTTATATATAATTTTAAATTCTGCCCAGGGAATGTGTTTAATATTGTTTTCTGCATCAAAAATAGGTATTGAACCCTTGTTTATCCTTATCGAACGTTAATGGCTGACAAGGGGCGAGACGACCCTCTTTGTCGGAGCATATTTTACCTTAATTACACATAAAATCTCATTCATAATTACATAAAAAATGAATAAATCAAGTATCTGAATTGTTATGTAGCGGAATACGCCTGTGTGCTTACCAGAGAAGCGAATTTTACTTGACTCCCATGTAATTTCTGAGATCCTTTATTATCACCATTCCTCGCCGACAAGTGCCCTGGGAAGTGTTTCTAAATAAAGAACAAGTGCTCCAGTTGGGATTAACAGGGCAAGGGAGACAAACGCTTCTGACTTAAAGGATGAAAGAGGGATAGGGGACTATTAGTTACAAATCCTTAATTTGTGAAATATGGGACAGGGATTAAGATCACTATCATATTTATCTGACCCCTTTTAATCTCCTGCAGATCTACATAGTAATTAAAAGTTGACAATGACATTCAACGTCATTTTATTTATGAAAATATAACAATGTAATAAAAGTATACAAAGTCATAAATTTGTAGACTAATGTAATGTTTGACTTTTTTCACTCAATTACTGTGTACAACATTTATATTCGTCAGATTTTTATCAATTAAAGGCAAGTAACTTTTAAATAAAACATTTTATCGTTGAAATTAAAATATTTATGCACATTTGAAGATGTTGATTTTACAGAGATCGACTTATATAAATATGTCTTTTCTTTAAATAAATCTATTTTTATAAGCCAAGGTTCATCGAACCTTAACAAACATGCACGAAAAATATGCGGTTTCAATATTTTGTATATCTATAAATATTTTAGAGTATTTTTACAACATTTTGTACTAAAATTGTGTCACGCAAACAAAGCATCTATCTTGAATGTTTCTGATATTTTTTTTTTCTGTACGGGGGAGGGGGACATTCAGATATTTTTGTATCCCGTTGGATATTATATTTCATTGTACTTCTTTATGATTTTTACCATTAAAATTCGTACTCATTTTTTCCATACATATTTATTTTCCCATTGAAGTACGCTTAAAACTCTATCCCTTTTCAACAGTTTAACATAAAAGTTGATGATAATGATGATGATGATGATGATGATGGATGGCTGCTTAACGTCCAGCGGATTTAACAGTAACTGTAAGAGGGGCGGTACGAAAAGGGTATCCATTTATCAGTAGGTGTATCCAAATGTGTATACATTATCTAAATATGGTCCTGTAAACCGATGATAAATCCACAAAAACGCTTAGAAAGTTCGAAATTATTGTTATTGATATTCTATAACTTCCAATGGAAATAGTCTAAAGATGAAGTAGAAAAATAATGCTTCGAATGAGCGAAATAAACGAAACCGACCATTCACATTTTGTTTGTTCTGGGTATTTTGTTGGGTTTGTTGTTGCTTTTTGTTGTTGTTTTTTGTTTTTGTTTTTGTTTGTTTTTGTTTTTAGTTTTTGGTGTTTTTGGTGGGTTTTTTTTTTTTTGGGGGGGGGGGGGGGAGGGGGGGAATTAGTTTTCTTAATAAACTGTTTGTGTCTAAATTTCTTAAAGACAAAATGAGTTGTTTAAGAAGAGAAGACGGAAGAACATAATAATGCGTTACTATTGAAAGCAGGTAAACACATTGATTCAACATTCATTTCCCTAAAAAATTCTTATTCCGTTTTCTTATAAAAACAAGAAGATGTGGTATGATTACCAGTGAGACAAATATCAACTAAAAAACTAAATGATGTAGGTGTTAGCAACTGTCTGTATGTTATTGAAAACAAAATTTGTTTCTGATTAAAGTCTAAGTAATACCAATGTCCTCCCACGAACACACAAGATGAATGTTCGGGACATAAGACACAGCTCGTGATATATTTGACAGAGAAAGAAGGACGTTTAGTTTTATTGTGATTCAAACTCATAAATCGAAAACAAACTGACAACGGCATTGCAAAAAAAAAAGAAAAAAGACCAAAAGACGAACAACAGTATACAAAACACAACAAAGAAAACTAAAGATTGAGCAACACGAACCCCACCAAAAACTGTGGGTGAACTCAGGTGCCCCAGAAAGGTAAGCAGATCCTGCTCCACATGTGGCAACCCAGTGGCGGATCCAGGGGGGGGGGGGGGGGGGTCCGGGGGTTGGAACCCCCTTTTTTTTACGATTAATGCATTTAAATGGGGACATATAGTTGGAACCCCCCCCTTTATCCTGGGTTGGGAACCCCCCTTTTAAAAATGGCTGGATCCGCCCCTTGCACCCGTCGTGTTGCTCGTGTAAGTACAAGCCCAGTGATATGTCTAATTCGGTAGGTCAAATGTATATTATGTCCCAGGGTCACGGTGCGCGTTTAAACAATGTGTCTATAAAAAAACAAAGACAACGATTTGGAATTAAAAAGCTAACTGTTAAAGTGTCATTGTTAATTTGCAGGACATAGAAAATACTCTCAACAAAAAGGTATTGAGACAGAACGAATTTGTTGTCCTCACCTTTTAAATTTGCATTTTTTTTTTGCCCTTTCCATCTTTTTAATCTGCATTTTTTTTCTTTTAATTTCATCTTAAAAGAAAAAAAATGACGGGTTTGGGAAAAAAAGGGGGAGGGCAAAAAAATGTCCTGTCCCAAAGTACCTGTGTACGAAACAACAGTAAAGCTCGGAAAAATAGTGTCTATATATGTACTAGCAAGTTAAAGGAAACTCTTTAAAAAAACCTTATGAGAACAAGTTGCGAGCGGTCATTAGTCTTAGTTGTACGTATACATGCATATCGGATCAAAGTGGTTGGTGGGATCGTGTTTTCTTGGTCTGTATTTTTTCTTCTTCTAAACTGACAAATTTTTTTGCCCTCCCCTTTTGTTTTATTTCAGAAATCCGTATGTTTTTGTTTTCTTTTAATTACATCTTAAAAAAAAAAAGACGGGTTTAGGAAAAAAGGGGGGTCCAACAAAATTGTCCTGTCAACGAGTACCTCAGTCCTGTGTACGCAAAAACAGAAAAACTCGGAGAGCTTCGCTTTTCCTGCGTCCGGTTACACATGCTTAAGCTCGTACAAATAAAGTTTATATTTTCCGACAGTGTACATACATGCATAATGAAATTAAAGAATGGGGGAATAAACCAATAAACTAAGGTATTTTCTGGAGAGAAACAGTGTCTATATCTATACTATTAAGTTTTAAGGAAAATCTTCAAATAAAAAACCCTCACAAGAACAAGTTGCAAGCTTTCACCAGTCTTAATTGACTTGGTACATGCATATCGGATCAAAGTGGTTGGTGTGATCGTGTTTTATTGGTGTGTAAAACATTTAATTATGTAGCCAAGGATAAGGCTTCGACAATAACGATATTCATGATTCCTGATGTAGAAGGTCCACGTCTTATAATGCGTATAGGGTCATATATGGACCCTATACCGCTTACGCGTTAGCAGAGACAGATATTGTCTTATGTGTCTCTGGCGTTATGCACGATCTTTATACCAAGTACATGTGTTAAAATGAAACAATGATTGGGGCGTGAGGTTCTACCAAGTTCAAACCTGGAAGCTATACTGGCTGCTTCTGGCGTATTTCTTCATCCGTAGAGAGCAGTTACAATTTTTTTTTGCATAGGCATATGTGTCTTAAACCGTTATTTTTTATAGCTCCAAACGTCGCTATATATATAAACAGTGTTTTTGTATTTAAATATTTTCTGGTTCGTTTTTTGATTTAGTCTATTTTTTCTTGTTTATTTTTTTTTATTGCTTGTTTTATTTTTTTAATGCATATTACCAGGTACCATATACTCATAGTCTTTTACAATGGATCATAGATTTGACAGGTTTCACAATATGGTGAGCTTTTCTGAAAACTTTCTTTAGAGTCTGCAAAGATTAGCCTATCGTCTGCGAACATTAGGCTGCCAATAATTGAATTTTCAAAGATGGTTGGTACTTTATTATTTCAGGGCGTTCAACCTAAATTACAACTGTGAACAGTACATAAAAAAATTACCATGACATAAAACTAAGAAGATGTGGTATATGATTGCTATGAGATCACTCACCACCAGAGACTATGCGTATAAATACACGAAGAAGTACAGCACAAAGACAGAAAAATACGAGCCGAACCTTTACTTCTTAGTCTACAATGTATATAATCCCGAAGATGTTAGGCATCACTTTTACCGGTGCGTGACACATAAAAGCCCGAGAAAGTTTGGCATTACTTTTACTGATTTTTACGACAGAGTTGCCTTAAGAAGTTGGTGCTTACTTTTACTGGCCTGTAAATTATTGATGCCTCAAAAAGTAAGCCATTACTTCAGCCGGTGTGTACGACAAAGTAGCCTGAGGAATTTGTGACTTTACCGGTATGTACGACACAGTGGCCCAGCGAATTTGTGACTTTTTTTTTTAACTTTGCCGTTTTTTTTAATCACAAAAGCCTGAAGAAGTTGAGTCTTATTTATACCGGTGTGTAAGACACAAAAGACTGAACTATTTTGTCCTGATCTTTACCGGCGTGTAAATCATAGTAGCCTGAATAAGTCAGTTAGGCATATGTTAATCGCTGTGTTACAACACTTAATCCCGAAGAAGTTCGACCTTACCATTTTACAGAAGCCCGACGAAGAATACGTCTGTCCAGGCCAGGGGGATGGTTGAACGCTCACAAACCTGTTTTACCCCACCTCATTCTGTAGGTGCCTATACCAAGTCAGGAACGGCCTGTAGTAAAGTGGTTGTCGTTGGTTCATGTCTGTCATATTTCTAAAATTGTTTTGTTTTAAATTAGGTCTGACTCATTAGTTTTCTCGTATGAATTGTTTCACATTTCTCATGTAGTCTTATATCTTTTATAGCCGCGACCATACAGTATGTTTTTTTCTCATTTGAAGGCAGTCTGGTGGTCTATAATTGCTTACTACCACTTCATTTTAATTCTGGTGGATAGATGTCTCGTTGGCAATCATACCATATTTTCTCATTTTTTTTAACAGTAGCCTGAAAAAGTTAATCCCTACTTTTATCGGTGCGTGACGATGTTGGGTTTTACTTTTACCGGTGTACATATCATGGAAGCCCGAATAAAATAGGCGTTACTTTACCCGGTGTGTACTACCCATTAGCCTGATAACGTCGAGCTTTACTTTTAATTTACCGGTGCGTAAACAACAAAAGCCTGAAAAATATGAGCTTTACTTCTACCGGTGTGTATAAAACAAAGAAGCCATGAGAAGTTTGACATTACTTTGACCGCTTGTGTACGACACAGTAGCCTGACTGAGATGTTGGTCCTTACGTTTATCAGTGTGAATAATAGAAGCCTAAAAAGTAAGCCATCCACTTCATTGGTGTGCACCACACAGAATACTAAACCCATCAACAACATTGCATTTTTTCGCTTATCCCAAGTCAGGAACCTCTAGCCTTTGTTAGTCTTGTGTGTTTTTTAATTGTGGTTCATTTGTATGTATCGAAATATAGTGTGGCGTCCACTTAGCTGAACTAATATAGATTAGGGGCCAGCTGAAGCCCCCACCCCTTCTGGGTGCAGGATTTTCTCGCTGCATTGAAGATCTATTTTTGGCCTTGGACTGTTTACTGCTCTTTGGTCGGGTTGTTGTCTCTTTGATACATTCCTTGTTTCCATTCTCTATTCTAGCCAGGGAAGTTGGACCTTACTTCTACCCGTGAAGATTTGAAAACATTTAGGAAGTCGTAACTGACTTAGGTAGCCATAATTTCACAGGAAAACGATCAAATCTCATATCAAACACTTTTTATTTATTATGAAAAATATTTATTAATTTAAAGATGTTTACTCAATTTATGAACGTGTAGTTCTCTAAAAAGTACATGTATGTGTCAAAGAAACAACTAAACTTAAACTTATTTGAGACATATATATAGATGTTCAGTGGTTGTTGTTTTTTTTATTCATGTTTTATTTTGGTATTTTGTTTGCAAAACACGTCATAACGATATTTTTGGTATACGCGTTAACGATACGGCAATCCAAAAGACAAAGAAATACCAACAATACATGCATGCGATCTTCAACGAAAGTACAAGAAGTCTGAACATCAAAGATAACTAGTGACGAGGTTTCCGAGTTTGACAGACACATTAACCCCGTTGAGAATAACACACAACCCTCTCCCTTTTTAAATTGATTAGTGGAATAACTATAGCTCACTTACTTACCTTCTTATGTACAGGAGAACAAGAACAAGAACATATTTTATTACCAATTGAGGGCCCACAAGGGGCATATAGAGAACGTGTATAAGGAAAAAGAACATTGATTTATAGCATAGGTACATAGAATTGAAATACACAATCACAATAGAATTATACTGTAATAAAGCCCTTGGTTTATAGTATATAATGTATATGTACAAATGTGCATTAAGATTTTACTAGTTTACCAGATATGATACATTTTTTTTTCTTCAGATACATGTAGTTGATTTGTACTGACTTTTATTTTTCCCGTTTCGTGTAGATTTAATTCACCAACAACCCTTATTTCCCATGGATATTGATAAAGCAAGGGTTTACTCTACCTGACGGGTGCAAATAGTGGAGCAAGATCTGCTTACCCTTCGGAAGCACCTCAGATTATCCCGGTTTTGAGGGCGTTCATGTTACTTAGTTTTTTACGTAGTGTTTGCGGACTAATTTGTCTTTTCGTCGTCTCTCGTGTTTTGCAATGTTGTCAGTTCTCTTCAACTTTTGAGTTTTGGTTGTCCCTTCGTATGTTCTGCGTCTTTTTTGTGTGACGTTCTTATTGTATTTTTTTACGTTTTTTTTTATTCACATTGCCATTTCAAATCGCGAACCAAATTATTTTTGTTATATTTTTTATTCACATTGCCATTTCAATTCACGAACCAAATTATTGTTTATACATACCAAGAAGTAGTACCAAACGCTGTATATTTCATATTACACAAATGGAAAATTAATCATCTAAAGCTGCTCCTACCCATACTAATTATACATATTTTAATTGTATATCAAAGTAGTTTAGACAGAATACGAATGTTTTTTTTTTTTTGCATTTCATTTCTATCCCAAATACAGATTTTAAGCAAAAAATAAAGCCATCATATATATTTTGTATACTTTGCTTGCATTTTAACCTTATATATTACCTGATTGATTTTCTAGTCAAAAGGTAAAAGGTCAATTGATGGTAAATCGTGTAAATTACAGCCCAAGGCACAGCTGTTTTTTTGTTGTTGTTTTTTTTCTCTCTCTCTTTTAATGATTATTTATCAGCCAAATAAATTTTAATAACGAGGGAAAAGTAGAACAATGGTATTTTGTTTATATTTTTTTTATCTCCCTTTTAATGATTAACGTATAGATTTTTATCAAATAAATTCAGATTACAAAGTGAATATTGTGAAGCTACTTTAGTTCTTTAATGTACAAAACTTTCCAGACCTTTTGTATGAAATATGTAAATAAATACACGCCTTTATGAACTCATATCAAATATATTTTTTCTCCTTCAAACTAGTATACACATATTCCTGGTATGATATCTTTCCGTCTTTATTAATGTCCATATTATCTACTTTGGAGAGTGTTTCTTTGTCAATTTCTACACCCATCTTCCGAATCTCCTCTACTACGTCCTTTTTTGGGGCGAAACCGTCATTACTATGGTCAAATTTTAAGAACAGTGCTCGTAGTCTGTTGGTTCTTAAAAAAATAAAATAAAAAATATATCGAGAATTAAGCAATATAATATTTAATTGAAGTATTTGCAAGCCATCAAGATTGAAGTCCATCTAATAGCATAAAACAAGTTTGCCAAGAAAGCTCCACTCTTCTTTTCATAATTTTATTTAATAAATCTTAAACTACATGTATGCATTCCAGCAAAATCTTGTCAATTCCATGCCTTTTCTTACTGTTATATATATCTGTAAAATCAATTCCGTTTCCTGTCAAAATTTCAAATGCATAGATCTCAAAAAGAAGCACACAGACAGTTCTTAAACAAATATGTTTTAATATAAGAGGGCCTGGATGAGGTTTACAGAATACTACAGAAAAACGAAAATAAAAATAGATGTGGCGCTAAAAAATAATTAACAGAGAATAAGGTGATGCTAAAATAGAAAGAATATAGAAAAATGGGCAAAATTTATGAAGAAAAGAGAAAAATAGCATAAAAAATTAAAGAATACAGAATTGAATGACCCCCCATCTAGACCCTCATATAATATAACATAAATTGTTTATCCTCGTTATTTTGAAACTCACCAGCAAACTTCCTGAAGGAGAATATTAAATTTATAAATCAAATAATTTAGCTAGAAAAAGGCAGGGCATCAAGTGGTCGATAAAGACGGTCATTCGATGCTTAAATTAATCTTTTTCAGTTGATAACTAATTATTTGTGCTTGCAAGCATGCATGGTGGCTGACTCGTAGGTGTCACATCTTTAAAGATGTATCTTCACTAAAAACCGGGAGAAAAATTGCTCTTTTAGATCCCCAGTGAAATAAGTTTCCATCTTATGTCTTGACTTTAGATATATACAAAACATTTGAATCGAAAAGGAAATAAATTATCATGCTTGCTATAGAATGGCAAAATGCATGATATCAGAAAATATTTCCTTATAGCCCAAATATTTCCTTCTCAAATATCTAGGAAAAAATAACAATTATAAGCAGAAAATATAACAACTATAACTCGATAGGGGATATCAGTGATAGCAATAAGCATTTATGATGGATTGATTGTCGCCTGCTTTACGTCCAGTGGCATATATTTCATGGATATTTTTTTAACAAAAATCAAGTATACGACCGACTAATATCTTTTGACCTCAACTGAGGAGATTGGATAGATCATAGGTTTACTATAAGGTTGAACTGTTGGACAATAGAAATAAGTCCAGATTAACGATACAAAAGAGAGGCGAAAGATACCAGAGGGACATTCAAACTCATAAGTCGGAAATAAACTGACAACGCCATGGCTAAAAAATAAAAAGACAAACAGACAAACAATAGTACACAAAGCACAACATAGAAAACTAAAGACTGAGCAACACGAACCCCACCAAAAACTGGGGATGATCTCAGGTGCTCCGGAAGGGTAAGCATATCCAGCTCCACATGTGGCACCCGTCTTGTTGCTCATGTTAGTACAAACCCGGTAACAAGTCTAATTCATTAGGTCACATTCGGGAAAAGGGTAAACTCTTTCCAACCTCTATATAGATTCTTTCTGTTGTTTTGTGTGTAGCTCTCTTCTTACAATTTTATCTCTTACCTATTTTTAACATCCGGAAACTTATTCATTAATTTACAGTACTCTTCAACTGTTATGCCTTTTTTTGAGTCAAAATTTCCTTTATGAAATATTGTCTAAAATAAAATAAAGAATCATTAAAATTTAAAATCCACTGGGTTGGTATCCGATAACATCATACACAAGTTGGCCAGCATTGAGGAAAATTGCTTAAGACCACGGTCCAGACTCTGGACTTCGTTCGGATACATCGATAACTCTTACACTAGCAGCTTTGTTGTAACATATATCCTAAAGCAAATGCTATGCTTGACCCGATGAACAAACTGACTAAGGTTAACAGCTGTTAACGTTGTTTCATGAACATATAACACGCTTACTGGAATAGTGTATACATACTATAGTCACCTTGAGTATTGCATGTTAAATGTATTATCTTTTCTTCTCCATACTTTTGTCAATTGGTTTTAGAGATTAAAATATCTAACCCACGTTACTTTATGGTTTGAACTATACGCAACAGAGAGTGCCAAAATCAGTTGCAGGACCCAATATCTATAACGATCAGGGATTTCCCAAACGTCTTTTCTCTTTGTAATAACTGAAAACCACTAATAAGGGTGTGGATGGGGGTTTACAGAATAGAAAATAATGGGCAAAAAATAAAAAGAATAGAGAAAAATGAGGTTCTAAAATTTAAAGAATAGAGAATAATGGGCAAAAAGTATAAAGAATAGAGGAAAATGGCCTAAACAAATAAAGAATACAGATATGAAGGACCCCCACCAAGACCCTCACTAATACGAGTAGTCTTACCTCTGGTTTCATTTCTCCATCATAACCTAAGAAGGTCAATAATTTCTCAAACTGATGAAGTGACAACGTTCCATGCTTTGCAGTATCCATGGCAGCAAATTCTCCCTTCAGATACCGTTTAAATCCATCTTCCGGAACAGATGCATCATTTAATCTTGCACTGAAAATTTTCAACAACTCTCATTATTCTAAATCCACACCTGTAGATCTATAAGAATTTTTGTCATGAATAAGGCAAACCTTATCCCATCGAGAGAACTTTTTAAAAAATTGAATTGAGTATCCAAAATCTTACACGATAAAACTCCTGATTATCTGAAAGTTGTGTTTTCAGAACTCTGAAGTTTATGAAAGAAATTTGAGATCATTCTCAAAAAACAATTCTGTAGTTATTCGGCCAAACACGAATATATTTTAACAAGAGGCTGTCGAGTGACAGCAACCCGGATTTTCCTGCAGAGGTCGAATCCTGAAAAGATGAGCAAGTATGGACCCCTATTTGGACCAATTTGAAAAGTGGGCCCAAAATCAGAAATCTAAATATATGTTTATTGATGGACAATATAAGCTTACTTTTTAAAGGAGTTCATTTCATCAAAAAAGAAATATACAGCATTCAGAAAATTAGTTTTTACAAATAACAAACAAACTTGTCACAAAATTCTTCTAACAATTTACCAAAGAAAAGCAGAACAAGTCAAAATCGTGATTATTGAACTTGACCTCCATTTTGTTGTCAGTAACAACATATTAAAATTTAAAAAGGTTTGGTTGAACAGTTCATGAGTAAATGCACGGACACGACATTTTTTAAACTTTCAAGAACCGTAACTCCTGAACGGTAAAAGTCAAAATCGTCATTATTGAACTTGACCTCCATTTTGTTGTCAGTAACAACATATTAAAATTTTAAAAGGTTTGGTTGAACAGTTCATGAGTAAATGCACGGACACGACATTTTTTAAACTTTCAAGAACCGTAACTCCTGAACGGTAAAAGTCAAAATCGTCATTATTGAACTTGACCTCCATTTTGTTGTCAGTAACAACATATTAAAATTTAAAAAGGTTTGGTTGAACGGTTCATGAGTAAATGCACGGACACGACATTTTTCAAATTTCAAGAACCGTAACTCCTGAACGGTAAAAGTCAAAATCGTCATTATTAAACTTGACCTCCATTTTGTTGTCAGTAACAACATATTAAAATTTTAAAAGGTTTGGTTGAATGGTTCATGAGTAAATGCACGGACAACATTTGGTTGCCGTTTGCCCGTCCGCCCGCCCGCCCGCCCGCCCGACCGACCGACCGACCGACCGACCGCCGTACATCCCCAAATCAATAACCGACATTTTTGACACAAAAATCCGGTTAAAAATCTTTTGCATATAGTTCTGCAATTCTATGGAATAGCTTACCAATGAACATACACATCAACATCTTTATGTTTATTTAAATCAAAATGTTTCAATATCTCCGTCAAGCCACACAGAGATAGATTATAATATTTATTAACATGAACACTATGAATAATTCTTATGTATATATATGTTGTGTACAAGTTATCATTTTGTACAAATTATAATTTGTATTTTGACTTTGTACAAATTGTAATTTATACAAAAAATGCCTGTACAAATTACAATTTGTACAAAATTCGACTAAAATTCACTTATAACTTGTACAATAATTTATAGTATGGATTTTGTTATACAAAAGCATTGATACACACGATAGAACATAAAATACCTTATTTACAAAATACAAAAATACCCAAAGACAGCAAATGTAATTGATCCAGGTATGTCAGTTAATTCTGAAAGCACAACAGAAATTGGCCCCTGTGACAATTCTGATAGAATAATAAAAATTGGCCTCAGTGACAATTCTGATAGAATAATAAAAAATGGCCTCAGTGACAATTCTGATAGTATCATAAAGATTGGCCCCAGTGACAATTCTGATAGTATAATAGAAATTAGCCCCAGTGACAATTCTGATAGAATAATAAAAATTGGCCTCAGTGACAATTCTGATAGTATAATAGAAATTGGCCCCAGTGACAATTCTGATAGAATAATAAAAATTGGCCTCAGTGACAATTCTGATAGAATAATAAAAAATGGCCTCAGTGACAATTCTGATAGTATCATAAAGATTGGCCCCAGTGACAATTCTGATAGTATAATAGAAATTAGCCCCAGTGACAATTCTGATAGAATAATAAAAATTGGCCTCAGTGACAATTCTGATAGAATAATAAAAATTGGCCTCAGTGACAATTCTGATAGAATAATAAAAAATGGCCTCAGTGACAATTCTGATAGTATCATAGAAATTGGCCTCAGTGACAATTCTGAAAGCACAATACAAATTGGCCCCAGTGACAATTCTGATAGAATAATAAAAATTGGCCTCAGTGACAATTCTGATAGAATAATAAAAATTGGCCTCAGTGACAATTCTGATAGAATAATAAAAAATGGCCTCAGTGACAATTCTGATAGTATCATAAAGATTGGCCTCAGTGACAATTCTGATAGTATCATAAAGATTGGCCCCAGTGACAATTCTGATAGTATAATAACAATTGGCTCAGTGACAATTCTGATAGTATCATAGAAATTGGCCTCAGTGACAATTCTGATAGTATCATAAAGTTGGACCCAGTGACAATTAGGATGACACTGACGTTGAAACACCAATCATACGTGCCAGGAACCGTGCGCTGACTGGCCAACAGATCCAAGCCGAATAACTATCCCATGAAAATGAAACAGAAATTATCAGTACTTGCTGTGTCATTATACTAATTCTTCAGTATGATCGTACCCCAACTGATCCTCGAAGTATCTTATGTGTAACCATCGAATTTGTAGAATTTGGATACCGCATTGGAACTGCTGTAGGAATTTGAACAGGGTATTTGTCGAGAAATCAAATTGAAGCTGTTAAAGACACATCTTTATTCGCAGCAACGGTTTCTGAGCTTCGACTTTCGCTACGTGAAGCAGATAAAAAGCTCTCAAAAACTGGTGGTTCGGGTTTTCTTTCATGTAAATGCAAAGGGGGGGAGCAAATGTAAATGTAAAAAGCAAAAGATGTTGTGCAATTCCCGATGCCATAATGATGATACAGAACTATTTTTGTATTTTGTAAATAAGGTTTATTGTGTGGTCATGGAATACAACTTCTTTGGTGTGTATCAATGCTTTTTTTATAACAAGATCCATACTATAAATTATTGTACAAGTTATAAGTGAAATTTTGTACAAATTGTAATTTGTACAAGCACTTTTTGTACAAATTACAATTTGTACAAAGTCAAAATACAAATTATAATTTGTACTATTTTTTTGTACAAATTATAATTTGTACAAAATGATAACTTGTACACAACATATATATATATATAAACAAGTCTAAATTGAAAACAACGTTCAAACCTATGATTGCGTTGGATAAAAACCGCAATTTTTATACGTGTGCATGTAAAACAAATATCTTGGTAGAGGGGTCTATATACAGCACAAACAACATTTTCCAAAAGACCAAAAAAGTGAAAAGTATATTTTAACAAATCGCATTTGACTAACAGGTCGAACAGCTGATGTTGTTAAACCCTGCTGACTGCCATTGACGATTGCCAAATAAATTGATCACGAGATATAAATGGATCTTAATTATTAATTAAATACCAAACACAAAACAATAAACTTGCGGAGAAGATGGTATACCGCAAACATGAGGTGCAAAAAATTGTACACCATATTCGGATTTCGACAATTAATGTCTCTTCAGTGATGTTAGGGATCGAAACGGTATTTGGAAGGCCATATAATTTACCTCAAATTAGGATAGACTCTTGAATTTTGAAAGAGTCAAAATAGGATGAACGGATCATATAAACCCGAAGGCAAATATAATACAAGCCCAAACGAAAAAATATAAACAGCAATTTTTATACGTGTGCATGTAAAAACAAATTTCTACCAAGACCCCTCTACCAGGAAATTTGTTTTGCATGCACACGTATAAAAATTGCGGTTTTTATCCAACGCAATCATAGGTTTGAACGTTGTTTTCAATTTAGACTTGTATATATATATATATATATATATATATTGTATGTACTATATCATTATGTACTTACTTTATGAGGACCCCAAGTAAGATTAGTTAAAACTAATTGGTTACCCTTTTTGAATAAAGAAAGAATATTAAGCGTAGATCGGTTTGGTTTTGGGATTTTTAATAAAATTCATGTAAGGGAGTATATGCCATTTTCTTTTGAAGTAAAAAGCCCATACAACTCCTGCTGAGGTTCGATGCCCGTCTGCTTATTCGTCTCTGTATAAATACCCAACCGTGTCAGGCCTGATTTGACAGGTTTTAGTTTCAGATTTTAATGGACGTATCATTCTTTTTTTAATAAGTGTTGAAATCTATTGTTTCTTCTTCAGCAATAAAGAAGACATAAAAAGAAGGACACGAGTTTCAATAAAGAAGATTTAAATTTGCTTTTGACACACTTCAACAGACTCATGATATAGTTCAAGATACACCAGACACACCGGGCATCCCGATCCGACACACTTCAACAGACTCGTGATGAAGTTTAAGATACAGCAGGCGGCACACAGGGTATCCCGATCCGACACACTTCAACAGACTCGTGATATAGTTAAAGATACACTAGACACACCGGGTATCCCGATCCGACACACTTCAACAGACTCGTGATATAGTTAAAGATACACCAAACACACCGGGTATCCCGATCCGACACACTTCAACAGACTCGTGATATAGTTTAAGATACAACAGACACACCGGGAATCCAGATCCGACACACTTCAATAGACTCGTGATATAGTTAAAGATACACCAAACACACCGGGTATCCCGATTCGACACACTTCAACAGACTCGTGATATAGTTTAAGATACAACAGACACACCGGGAATCCAGATCCGACACACTTCAATAGACTCGTGATATAGTTCAAGATACACCAGACACAACGGGTATCCCGATCCGACACATTTCAACAAACTCATGAAGAAGTTAAAGATACACGAGACACAACGGGTATCCCGATCCGACACACTTCAGCAGACTCATGATATAGTTAAAGATACACAAGACACAACGGTTAT